CCTGCCTCCCCACAATTCACCCAAGAACACGTGTGCTGACAGACAGGGACAAGGAAAGCAGGATTATTCCAGCTCTCACATCTGACTTACCCCCTTCCAGCCAAGCCCAGGGAGTTGCTGTGCTGGGGAACTTTCTGCACCCCCTGACTCAGACCAACTCTGCTTTGAATTAAAGCATCTATTTTCAACCATCTCCTCATGGTGTGCTCTTGGATTCTATTAGCAGCACTTTCAAGAGCACTGAGCATTTCAGACTGGCTTTTCCCACTTTTGTTGGCTTTGGCAAAGGAGGAGGCAGGGAACTGTGCCTGCCAAGACCCTCAGAAGGCAGATCTCCATCCCTCCTGCCAGGAGTGGACATTGCTGCTTGGAGGCAGCAACACAGATGAAAACAATCAAGATTAGAACGTGGGGAGGGGGGTATCTGAGCCCTCCAGGCTCTTTTACCCCTTTCCCCAGGGCCCTTTTACCCCTTTCCCCAGGGCCACAGGCATCTGAGGGGGCCCCTGCAATCCACTGACAACAAAGCATACCTCAAAACCCAAATTATACCTCCCTTCCTCCAGGGAGCCAGCTCAGGGTGCCTCAGCTGGAGCACCCCAAGCCCTTTGGTCAGTGCACAGTGAATTATAACCACAGCCTTCGTTTTCCTTACCCCAGGGCTGCAGGATGTGTCAGGTATCTCAGCCAGAGGGGTTATAAAGTGTTATTGCATCAGCCCAAACCCCAAAGCTGCAGTGCAGAAACAAAGCCATGAGCATGCAAAGCCACTTGTTCTTCCAAGGCCAAGAGCCAGGTAACTGCCTGCAAATGGATTTTAATGTCTGTGTTCCCTGTAGACATAACTCCAGGACAGCAACAGAAGTTCCAGGATGTTTCTTATTCCAGGAAACTCTTTGTTTCAGCCACAACCAAGTGTTCCATATAATTTAATAACTGTTGCATTGATTTCTCCTAAATCACCACAGCTCTGTGCTCTCTGCAGCACTTCTAAAAATTAATACATTTTTTAAGAGCAGGTTAATTTCTCCTCCTGCTTTAACAAGGAAGATTAAGAGGAGATTGCAAGGGGCTGGTGGTGAGGAGAGGGCTGGTTTATGATTAACACGTGTGCTCAGGAGCCCCCATCCAGCACAGCAGATCAAACAAGGCTGTAACTGCATCTTGACAGAATTACTGAAGGTGACTCTGCCTGGGAGCAGGCAATTCCTCCTGGCCCACAGGGTAAATCCATCTGGCCTGATGTCCCTCCAACCCACGTTTGAAGAAGGGGAGCAGAGTTCCTTCCAAAGCACCCAGAGCTGGCTCAATGAGGAGAGAAGAGGATCTGCACACCCACCATGTCCCCAGTTCCACCTTCCCCTGGAGCTGCTCCCCCTCCCAGGTTTATTTCTCAGGGCACACCAAGTCAGCAGAGGAGGCTTCTGTGTGTTCAGCAAAGTCCTCTTCTAGAGCCACAAGCAGCACAAAATTAGGCAAAGGGAACACAGACTGCCAGCAAAGGCCATCAGAGATGACAAAGAGCTCAGAGGAATTAGGCAGAGTCTGTGTCTCAATTAATTCTAAACTGTCCAGGGCAGTGAAGTAAAGAAAAATCTGTGGTGGCCAAGAGCAGCAGGGATGCTCTCCTAGAGCAGGATGCTTTGACTCTGTAAGGGTCAGACACAGCTCACAGGGACAACACAGGCCAGAGGATAAGTTCAACCCTCCTGGGTTCCATGTTTTATTATGGCAATTAACAGCTCTCACCATCAGTGCCACAAGACAGCACCACCACAGGCACGGTGCCTTTGCAGAACTGCTGCCCACGAGTGCCAGATCCCAGCTCAGCAGCACCTGGGGCTGCAGGAATAACCAGCAGGAAGGGAGGGAAGCAACAGAAACCAAACCCTGCTTCTCTCAGGACTGTGATTTGTAAGGACACGTGGGCAGTCTGCAGACTTTTCCATAAGGAGATGGCACCATGTGGTTGGGATGAGACTTTGGCTGCAGACAACAGTTCCCAAGACCAGAAATGCTGTCAGACCCAACGTGGCCTCCCAGAACTATTTTCTGAACCTCCACTCAAGCCACTTGTTTATATAAAAAATGCCAACAGATCAGCAAGGATGAATCACCCAGGAGCAAGCCAGAACCCTATTGTGCAGGAAACAAGTTCAAGTTCACATCAGGCTGTTCTGGCCATGCAATGAGCACCTTCCCTGCTCAGCAAGGTGAATGGTTCAACCACAGAGGAACTCCCAGAGATATTAGAAAATGTGGCAATTCCCACTCTCAGTATCCCCAAGGTCAGCAAAGCCTTTGCACTCTGCAGGACCAGGACTCCCAAAACAAAACATGGAAGGATGATGAGAGGAAAAACCAATGCCAGAGGAAAAAGCACCAGAACTCCCACTCTGAACTCTACAGCACATGGACAATCACTGCCACCAACAGAAAGGGTTTGCTACACAAATGCCTCAATCATTTGCTCTTTAGACCTTTCAAATCCTTCTTCATTATTCCTCAAAATTCTGGGTTCTGCTGCGGGAGCAAAGCCAAGAGAACAGCCTGTGTCCATGTGTGGAGGCAGCACAAGTCCTCACACAAGCACCTGATCCATTTTGCCTGCCCAAGAACCACAGATTGGACAGGAATCTCTTACCAGCACCTGCAGCACACTCCTCATGTTGCCCCTTGGGCTCCACTGCTCTGTCTGGCACGGTTGGATCAGCCCTGGCCACTCCTACCATGGCAGCAGGAAAGTTTGGAAGAGACAGGTACTTTCCTGTACAGCCACCTGGAAATATGGAACCACCCAGCTGCTCCCACCACCCCTCCTGGATGGCATCTTTCAGCTTCCCAAGCCAAATGTTAATATTTAACAATTTGGTGTCTGGGAAAATGAGAAATCGTTCAAGTGGAAAACATTACTGAAGAAAGGGCTGGAAAAGCTTCAGGAGACTCCCAGATGGCTCCAGACTGATGCCACTATCTCCAATTTGAGACCTGCTGCTCACCAGAGCCAGGCTCCACCTCTGGCTCCTGTGAGCAGATCTGCAGCTTTTCTCTGGATGGGCAATGCCTGATGGCTCAGAGACCCCTGGGGTTTATCCATGGCTTCCATGTCAGTGCTTAGTGCATCCTGCTCCCAGTGAGCACAGGAGAGACCGTGCAGGGTGCTCAGAAATCCAAATCTGAGTGTTCCAGAAGGCTGACCTGGCTCCATCCTGCAGAATGAGCTGTTAGAGGATGGCTGGAGCCTGACATTCCTCTTCCAGAGACAGCCCCACAGGTGAAATAACTGAGTGCTGTCCCTTGGCTCCAGGGAGCTTCAGCTTGGAAAACAGAGCTCCAGCAAAGCCTGATCCACCGTTCCTCAGTTCCAGGGTGACACATCACTACCCTGTTACCTGTGGAATCTCCAGAGCATGGGCTCACAGACAAAGCATGGAACAGGCCAGGAGAGCACCATGAAGCTGCTTTGCTCATTGTGGAAGCACATGGCACTGCCTGGTGGTACAATACCCCAGTGAAGGAACCGGTTCGGCTGTGTTAGGTTCAGTCCAAACAAAAGCCCATTTGCCTAAAATCAACTCACTCCCATCCATGGCTTCCTCTCCCAAAGGATAAGAGCAGCACAAGAATTATTTCTTGCTCTGGGAACCATTTGAGGTCATTCATGCTTGCTTTGTCTCAGAGCTTCCTGCTCTTTTCTCACCCAGCCAACACAAAGCATCTCCTTTCACAGAGAACCTCCAAAAACCTGCTCCTCCAAGTTGGCTGAGATCAATTTCTGTGATGCAGCAGGGAAGGAAGCTGACTGACCACTGAGATACTAGAAAATACATAAGTTAAAGAAATAATTAAGCCCTTTTCCCGTTGAACCCATCAGCCAAACCCCACCAGACCTGGAGGTGAGACCTGTGGCAGGGACCCCTCTCCCCTTCCCATCACAGCCCCATAAATGGTCTCACAAGTTGATGAGATCACCTTTCTGTCTCGTTCCTCCCACAATTAATTCTGCAGGAGGCAGAGATCAATGCTCCTGTGATTCAATTATTTATCTGGTTTAATCCAGCCAGAAAACCCTGCCCAGCAGCTGCCCAGTGGCTGCCCAGGTGGGTCCCTGATGTGAAGCAGGAGGAGCTGGATGGGGGGACCACACCAAAAAGCACAAATCCCCAGCACCTGCACATCCAAACCTGCAGAAATCAGAGCCCAAAGGAGTGACAAAACCACTCTTTAGCTATACCAAGAAACCAAAGACACAACGAGGGGGGAATTAACACATACACCAGCAGACACCAATGTCTGTGTTAATTCCTAGAAAGGATATAGCCTGTCCCTTCTTTATTCCAAAGTCAGCTCTATCATATCAACTACTTGCAGTTTTTACTGACTAATCTTACCATAAGATGTTGCCAAAAGTAGTGCAATGTTTCAAAACCTCCAAGGAAAAAGCTCCTTCCCACCCACAGAGATCCCCAAGGTGAGGGAGGTCTGGGTCCCCAGAGATGCTGAGTGACTCGGGGTCACTGCTCATTCCTCCCACACTTCAGCTCTGCAAAAACTGACCTGGCTCCACTCTTGGAATGCTAGGCACTGAGTTGATGTAATCCCTAAATATTCACTATTCAGGAATCCACCACTTGTGACCAGTGAGGAAGAACATGCAGCACAAGAGAATTTTGGGAGGGAAATAACCAAAGAGTCTGAAGTGTGTTCAGTTCACACTCTGGGACCCTCCTGCAGCCCCCAGCACCACCAGTGTTTATGCCAAACATCCCTTTAAAAGACAGAAGCTGTTTTACCACAGAGAAGCTCCTACCAAACCATGGACACCTTTCAAATTCCTGGTGTCAGAGAACTGATCCCAACTGCACACAATTCCTCTCTGGGGCTGGACAAATTTATCGCCCATCTCTTCATTTTCCCTAAGTAAGGCAACACTGAAAAGCAATCCCCAGCACTCCAAAGCCTCATTTTTTCCCCAAAGACATCAGGAACTCTGCACTTACCTGAGGAAAATCCCCATTTTTTGGTAAGAAGTCAGTGGGGTCCACAGCTGCATAGTTTGTATCCAAGAAATGTGGTCTGCTGATGGAATCCATATAAAAATCCTGAGGGGGGCTAAAATATTGCCTGTAAGGAAATGGGAAAAGCAGTTACTCCCTGTCAGTCCCCAGCACTTCTCAGGTCACTTCAGCCTCTGACAGCAGTGAAGCTGAAACTTCAGGATGTCACATACAGGAGAGGGATATTATTGGATATTATCCAGAAGAGAGATGGCAAAATAATATCTCTACCAGTTCTATCCCACTTCCCAAAGTCAGCAGTGTAAAAATGCTGAATTAAGAATATAATTCTTAATTTGTGTAGACCAGGAAGGACTTAATAGATAAAAATGGTCTGCAGTACCCAATATTTCAGCCCTGATGACAAAGCAGAATGAAGCCCTGGGACATCCCAGCATGATGGGTGTGGTGGACATCATGTGAGGACATGAGCTGCAGGGAGACATCACACCTGAATGCCAGTTTAGGCCACAAAACCCCCAAAACAGCCTCACAAATCAGCTCTGACAGGGAAACACCCCTGTTAACCCACCTGGACAGGGGGTTCACCACTCACAGAGCCCAAAGGCAGGTGAGAATGGAGGGGTTGGTGACTGGGAAACACAGACAGAACTGTTACCCAGAGAGAGGAAGTAGGGATGTGAGTTCAAAAGCAAGATCAGTGCTCAGCCAACAGGGGAACAAAGCAAAGATCCTGCCTGCTCCACCTGGGCAGGGCCATGCCAGCTTCCTCCTGCTCCCTGCACCCTGCACCCGTTTCCTCCAGGCAGCCAGGGGCAAAAACTGCCACGAGAGCAGCCAATTTCCTTCCTCCTGCCCAGGAGCAGCCCCTGGCCTCTGCTCCACGCCACCTCCTGGTTTGCACAAGCCTTTTCCCTCTCCTGCAGGAGCAAGGAATGTGCTTTGTAATCCTTCCCGTAAGGGGCTGTGCTCCTGCTTGGGCGATTGCCACCACGGGACATCCACCCCAGCTGGGTGGTTTCCTCTTTCCTCACCCTGATGCCCAAAGAATCCACGGCCAGAAACTTGAACAGGGCGCTGGGAAGAGGGAGAAACAGAGTTTGAACAGAACTCCTGCCCAGGAGCTGGGAATGCCAAGCTGCCAAAGGATTATTAAGCAATTAAGGTGCCATGTGTGGCCAGCAGCTCGTTAACGCAGCCGGTGAACATTTACATGTGGATTTATGTGCAAACACAGTTATCTCCTCTGATAAATACATTTTTCCTGCTTGTTTCCCATCACTAAAGACAAACCCCTCAAAAATTAACAGCTCTTTCCTCCTTTTCTTTTTGTTTTTCTGTGCTGCCACGGCCTTACCTGCTGCAGAGACACCTGAGACCCTGTGTGAACACAAACCTGCACATCCCAGCTCCCAAAGTCCAGCCCTGATTGTTGGCTCTTTGTAATCCATCCAAGGAAATTAAAATCTGGGCATAAATTCTGGGAATTAATTATTTCCACACAGGAAAAGGCTGGTTTAAAAGGCTTTCAAGCCAAGGCTGCTGTGGTCTCGCTGTCTCTCACACGAGGACACAGCTTGGCCAGCATCAAGGAACTAACCAAGGAATAGGAAAACTATTTTTACTGGAAAAGTGAACACCCTCTCCTCTTCCCCTGGCACTTTGTGGCGAGGACAAAGGTCAGTCAAGGTAACAAGAAACACAGCAAGAGAGCTCCAACCTCCCTGGCCTGCTGTGGAATGACCAGCTCTGCTTGGTATTTTGTTACCCTTAATCTTGGTCTTCCAATCTGCCCATGTGAGATGCCCTTGGTTGCTGCAGTTTGCAGGGAGAGCCCACAGCAGCTCCAGGCACCACTTTGAGATCCTCCTTGGAAAGCCCCAAAATCCCATCAGTACTTTTGGAGCTGGGCTTTACCTTCCCTGGACTCAGAACTCAAAGCTGTCTCCTCTCATTTGCAGGGTTGGCACAGAGCCATTGACAAGTTTGCTTGAAATAAACCGAGACAAAAATGCTTTAATTGGAAGAATCAGGTCAGTGACCCTGTCACAGCCCAGCTGTGAACACTGCCCTGTCCCCACCTGCTCAGCCTCTCCAGGGCTCAGTTCCTGGTAAACTGCTCTACTGTGGGTCAGCAGCTTCCCTCAAATGCTGAAGGGGTTCACTAGACAACCAAAAAACAGCTCCAGAAAGGAAATTTATGCTGTTTTAATCACAGCAGCTGCCCAAGGAGGAACGCTCCGTCGCAATTCCGCTGCATTCCAGCTGCTCATCCAGCTGCTCATCCCAATGAGCATGACCAATGCATCCAAAGCCCTTCTGGGCCCACTGTGCCACTTCTCTGAGACCTCCATGTGTGTTTTGGCCAGGCTCCATCCTCTGTCCTCCACTCAGAGACACAAACTTCTCATCTCAAGCCAGTGGAAGATCAGGGAGAGCTGAGAGGCCACGGGCTGCCTTGGCACTAGCCTGCCACTTCCCTTCCTCACCAGACACCAATCCATGTTTTTCCAGAGCCTGCTTTACTATTTCAGCAAGCAATGCTCCATGCAGAGGTGGAAAAGGGCATAAAAACAACAAGAAAAGTGTAAAGTGGGGACAAAGCTTTGCTGCAGCTGTGTACACCTCATCCAACAGCACAACTGGGCTGCCCCAGATCCCCCCAGCCAGCAATGCCCTGAGCCTCTCAGCAAGGGAAGCTGAGCTCTGCAGGGATAATTCCTCAGAAAAGAGCTGAGCTGCTGCTCTTCAGAGCTCTGAACCTCCCAGGTTCTTTCAGGGAGGTTGAATACACTGTTGACATTTGTCGGGTTAAGAAAATCTGAACCCAAGAGGCCGCGTTTGGGGTCTTCTGAAGAAATTCCCTAGCATTAAAGTGAACTCCTGAAAAGAAACAGGAAAAACCTGCTTCAGGATAAAGGTGTTGCTATGAGAATAAGCCCTGTCCAAACACAGCCACTTGCAAATGAGATTTCTCTGCAAGGATTCTGAAGAAAAACGTGCACCACCCCTAATGCCAGCTGCATTTTTTCATGTTACAGCAATGGGCTACAATTACAACTGCCTTTAAAATCCCACTTTTCAATGTTTCCATTCTTTCCAGGATTCCTGCCTGTAACCCCCTCACCCTAAATCCACCTAAAACAGAGTCAGTGCCATTTTCAAATACAAAAAGCACAGACTTTTTTTTTTTTTTTTTAAGGTGAAATGCAGATATGGAAGATCTCACCTGAAAAGTGATTTTTATACCTCCTGAGGTACGAAGAACAGGAAGCTAAAGGTGCAGCATGGGCTAAATCATTCCCTAGCAAATCATTACTACAATGGGCCTCATTTCCAGAATAACTTCAGCAAAGGCAGCAAGTCCAGGTTTGTGTCAGACACAGGCATGTCCTTGCAGGATTGGGCTGTTCCCAGCAGCGCTGGTACGAGCGGCACCGAACAGGAAGAGAGTGAGGGGCAAAACCAGAACAAATGGTCAAGAGGAAAAAAAAAAAAACCCAAAAAAAAAAACCCAATGCAATAGATAAACACAATCTAATCTTGTGGTTCAATGCAGCAAAACAGAAATTCTGTTATAGCTCTCTGGAGGATTCACAACATGTAATTTACAGGAATCCTGCTCAAAAAGCACAGCCCCTTCCAATCAGCCAGGCTGGCCAAGAGCAAAAGGCCTGAATGGATCTGAGAAGTCTCCTGTGGGGAGGAGCTGGCACAGCTCAGCTCCCTCAGCACCTGTGGGGCAGCTTCTGGTACCCTCTGATGGGGAACTGCCCTGTGCATCCACCCCACAGCTCCTGCTGTGGCCAGAGGGGACCAGGGCAGCAGGAGCACAGGGACACGAGTCCCCTCATCCCCCTGCCAGAGGAGCTGATCCTCACTGCTCCTGTCTGCCTGGAGCTCACACCCTCCCAGGGAGGGATCCTGTCACAGACACGTTTTCTGAAAAATCCTTTCCTTAGGATTTTTTTCCTCCTGAGAAGCTGAGAGGCCTCAGGAACAAAATGCAAACAATGGTTATCTGCTGCTGTGGAGTGCAACAGGTGCATCTGGGATTGGTCTCATGCAGTTGTTTCTAATTAATGGCCAATCACAGCCCAGCTGTCCAGACTGTCTCGGTCAGTCACAAGCCTTTGTTATCATTCTTTTTCTATTCTTAGCCAGCCTTCTGATGAAATCCTTTCTTCTATTCTTTTAGTATAGTTTTAATATAATATATATCATAAAATAATAAATTAAGCCTTCTGAAACATGGAGTCAACATTCTCGTCTCTTCCCTCATCCTCAGACTCCTGCAAACACCATCACAGGATCCCACCATGAAGATGCCAAAATCCCTTTAGGAGGGAGGTTACATTAAATGCCCAGTTTAATGCCAGGCACCTGGAACAGAGTTGTTAGCTCAGGATGTCGAATTCTGCTTCTTTCAGTTCTCCTTCCTCCCACCTCTGACCTAGATAAAGAACACATCCTGTGTATCCCTGGATTCACAGAGACCAAAGGAGCCATGGATCAGCCTCCAAACCCCCAGCCCCACCAGAATCACCATCCAAGTCGCTCAGTGATGGCACAAGGCCACTTCATGTTGTGCAAACATTTGTCATATCCCACCTTGTGATGAAGGTTCATTGTAGAGGGAAAATGGAAAACAAATTTTTTCAGTACAGACTGTTAGGGTCAGTCACTTCCAGTGACATGGCAGAGGATTTTAACATCACCCAAAATCTAATCCCCAGTACAGGTAACATCTTCCTCCACATCTGTGCAAACCCAGAGACTGCCCAATGTTTGCTCAGTTGCATCTGTTAAGAATTCCATTAGTGTTACAAATCCAGGCTAAACCAAAGCTGTTTCTCCCTTACTGCAGCCTCCAGGTTTAACAGAAAACAAAGGTTTTTTCTCATTTTTAAAAACAAAAAGCTGTTTGCTGCTGCTCCCAAGCAGTGTCTGAAATGCCACAAGATCAGTGAGTGATGCAATTATTTCCCCATCAGATCATGAAATAAAGTAAACATGGAAAGCAGCAAAGAAATAGTTGAATCACGGGGTGTGCAAGAGCAGAGGGGATTAGACAAAGGAGAACAGCACTCACTGGTTTTCACTTGGGAAAGATGAGGTTGGGAAAGGGACTGGGTAGCAGCTACTCCACGAGTCGGCGGCCAGCATGGAATTCTGCAAGCAGAAGGCACAAGAGTTAGAGCAGCAGAGGCCTGGAACCATTACCTGGGGCTGCAGACACGAGGGCAGGCCCATGGCTTCCCTCCCTCAGTGCTTCCCAGAGGCAGAGGTGGCTCTTTGTCTCTCCAAACCTCCAGTTTCAGCTTTGGAACCTACTCCCCTACCGCTGTCCCCTTCCCCAGCCCTTGCACAGGACACTCTGAAGGGACAAAGGAAATGGCATCAAGAGGAAATGGCATCAAGCTGTGCCACGAGATGTTCAGGTTGGACATCAGGAGGAATTTATTGGTGGAAAGGGTAGTCAGGCTTTGGCAGGGGCTGCCCAGGGAGGTGGTGGAGTCCCCATCCCTGGAGGTGTCCAGGGAAGGACTGGGCGTGGCACTCAATGCTCTGGTGTGGTGACAAGGTGGGAATCAGTCACAGATTGAACTTGATGACCTTGAAGGTCCTTTCCAACCTCAGTGATTCCATTATTCTATGATTCAGTCTCTGTGGGATGTCAGCACCAACCCAATAACCTGAAATTGGCTGGCAGAGGTCACATCCAAAAATGTCCTTTTGTGCCTTTTGTCTTCTCACCTCCCTGAACAGTCTCCAGTTAATGGCAAGGTCTTAGCTCAGCTCATACCAATAAAATCAGGGAGAGAACACAGTATCTCCTTACTCAGCTCCACAGCAGCCTTTAAGCTGTTCTTTTTGTGCCCAAAGCAATGGAACCTTGTACTTGAAGCAAGAGAAACTTGGGCCTCGCTTGAACCTCTGTGTCCCTGCATGCGACACATTCCAGAGTTTGAAACAGAAAAACTCCAGGAACACATCAGCTATTTTGGGACAGGGTTTGCTTTTTGCCCTGTTGGACAAATGCATCAGGGACCTGGTCTGGTTTTAGCATCTATATCAGGACAAATACAACTTATTTATCTCTGCTGCTCTGGAAACAGAGACAGCTGGACCCGGGCACAGATTCACACGTCTGGTAGAGTTGTGCTGGGGCAGGAACAAAGTCTGCAATCCTGGGCACATTCTCTCAGTCTCTTCAGTCCTTCCTCAAGGAGCTGGCAGCCAGCAGCTTTCAGAGAGGTTTTGCTTTAATCACAGCCCTGCTTTTCCCTCCTCACTTCAGTCCCGCACCCCCCTGAGCAGCCGCCTGGAAAGTCTGGAAATTGCTGCTGTAAACACAGACCAAGACTCCCAGGATCTACCAGGCCAGATTGCTGTGCCCAGACCCCTCCTGGGCCACAGCCTCCCCCTCCCCAGGATCTGCAGGGTCTCACCTCCACATTGGGCACGGCGAGCTGGGAGCGGAGGCCGGGGACGCCGCGGACGGCATCGCCCGGCTGCTGGTGCTGTGGGAAGCTGTTCCCCCCATCCATGGTGGGGTGAGAGCATCAGCCCGTGTCCTGCCTCATGGAGTCCTCAGGAGGGTGGGACAGGCTGTGGAGTGAGTGGTGGCAGCGTCTTCAATTGTGCTCTTCACCCTGCACCATGTCCTGGGCTGGGAAAGAAAGGCGTGTTTAGGTTTTGTGAAAGGGGAGGTGGGGAAAAAAAACTACTTGTGAGCTTAAACATAGCTTAGAGATGAGCAAACAGCCAGCAGCCTGTGAAATGCTGCTGCCTCTTCAGAAAAGAGAGGGTTTTATGGGAAACAGAGCTCTCCATTAGCACCACACCTGGAATTCACCCAGGCTGGAACTGGAACTCACCTCTCCTGCCTTTCACACCAGGAGCCCCGCAGGTCCCTAAGGTCACCCACAGCTGGGCTCAGCCTGAGGAATTTGCTTATCTAATGTACAAGAAGACTCTGCACTCCTGTGTAAACTCATGGTAATCAATTCCCCCAAACTGCCTGTTTTGCTGAAAATGTGCTCTGGAGGTGGGACACTGCTGAGCCAGCAGTGAACCCTCATCTCCCATCCTGTGGAGCTCCAGGGTCTCCCCAGCTCCAAGGCAGATGTTTCTGCACCAAGTCCTTTCCCACACCAGTCAAACCCACCAATACCTTGTTACTCATTTGAAATTAATAGTGTTAATGCCACAGATTCCTGAATTTATCAGCTTCTGGCACTTTCCCTTTTTGCCAGCAAAAGGGGATCCAATACAGGAGCATTGTCCTGGCAGGATTAACCCCACAGTAACACCCTGCCTTCAGTGCAGCTTCTCAGCCAAAACCACCAAACTGATTAATTTTCTTCTAAATTCTCCATTATCCCACAGGAAGCCAATTTCCATTGGATTTAATGGATTAAAATAAAAAAAGAGATGGTGAAAGCAACCTATACAACCAGAGGAGCAGAGAAAAGCATCCACAATGTCTTTATTTCCACTGAATCTTTCTTTGCTGCTTCCTGCCTTCCCTGTCCCTCCCCAGAAGCTGAGTAAATCAAAGTGGCCAAAACCTCTGGATGGAGCAATCCAGCCACACACAACACCTACAGAGCACAGACCAAAGCTGTAATTTAAGAGAGCCACCTCTGATCATTCAGGACACACTGTTTATTACAAGGAATATTTTTGAAAAGCCATTTCTGACTCCGAGGCCCTTTAAAAATAAGAGACCCTGCGGTGGACAAAATGACTGTGGCATTTGCAATGGAAAGTGAAATTTAAAGTGACTCCTTCTGCCTTCCCGTGGTGCCACAGCTGTGCCAGCAGTGCCCTCTGGGTAGGGCTCATCTGGGGCTGCAGGGACCAGCCAGGACCCCTGAGCCTGGCCTGATCCTGCAGTGGAGTCACAGGCAAAGCCCTCAAGTGCCCAGGATGTTCTGTGTGAGAAGCAGAGTTCAACAGTCACATCCCACCTATGGAATGCTGTGCGGAGCTCCCAAAGGGATTCTTTGGGTTTTGGTTTTCTTGTAGGGAGAAGGTCCCCCTTTTCTATTTTGCAAAGATTCCCTTCAAGTCCTGCTCAGCTTTAGCCAAGCCAGGGCTGAGGTTTGCTGATCTCAGGGTCAATGTCACCAACTGCTCTGTGTCTATAAAACCCTGTGACTCTTCCTTACACCAGACTTCAGGGGTTTTGCTGCTTTTCTTCTTTTTTTTTTTTCCCTTACTTGCAACAGCTTTTGAGAGGAAATCAGCAGCAGTGATTCCCGTAAGAGCCATAACAAATGTACAGCTTTACTTACATATCCAAAGGAACTTAGGAAGGGTAAAATCAATATCAGCATCCCTCTGTGCCTGCTCTGCATTAGCTTGTGTCTCACACCACCAGATCTCACTGGTGGACCCTGCAGAGCAGAGGCTGCCTCTAAAGCAGCACCAGCTCCCTGGGAAAACTGCACAACAGATCACACCCCACTGACAAAATGAAGGAAAACTGCTTAGCAAGAAAGCTGTTGGAATGCTCTGAGCCTTGCTTTGTGGGGGGCTGTTGTGCCAGTGCAAAATACACCCAAGCATTGAAAACAGGAGGGGAAAAAGAGGCACTAAGAGACCACTCTACAGCTGGTACCATTCCAGCCATGCTTCAATCCTGGAGGATGCTGAGAGAACTCCTTACCCCAGGAGAGCGGCACCAGCACTCACTGGACACCCCAAAATCCAACCTGCACCTGCCAAATCTTTGTGCTGCAAAAGGAGTTCCTGGTGGTGAACGTGGAGGCTGACCCAGCTCTCACTCTGAGCTCACGCTCCAGTGCCAGCGGCTGCCGTCCAGTTTACACTCCCAAATTCCAAGAAAAAACTAAATAAAGCACTCACTAAATCCAGAGACAGAGACTTGCATGAGCCTGAGGACAGCAGGACAACACCCAGCACAGGAACAGAGAAGTGGGAACAGCCCTCGGTTTGTGCCCGTCCCGCCATGCTCCAGGCAGCCACATCACGGAAAACCATAAAAATCAGCAAGATCCAAAGTGCTTCCACATCCCATCCTGCTGCTGTGACAGTAAACACTGATTACACAGAGGCCCACACACGTGAGGGAAGAGATACAGCAAACTTTTAAAGTGATTTTCCACCGCTTCTCTTACCAAACACACTCCGAGCAAGCAGCAGCTTCCGCTGTTATGGCAAATCCCCGGAGAGGAGGCTCCCAGTCCCAGCACTCGTGTTGGGAGAGGGCTGGGAGGGGAAAGCCCAGCCCTCAGCAGCAGCAGCAGCACACAGAGACTGTTCCCAACTTCAGCCACTTTAGTCACGTCTCCTTGCAGCAGCACTATGGAAGAGCAGCCATCCCCCAGATCCAGAGAGAGGACACGACCCTAAAAATCCCACTGGACATTTTCCTTCCTGGCCGAGGAGCCCAGGTTTGAAAGTGAAAGCAGCTCCCTGCACAGGATGACGAAGCCCCGGAGTGATTTCATCCTATCACTGAGCTCCAGAACAGTTTCAATATTCCAAACAGTTTGCTTAAAGGTTTGCTGTCAGCACAGGGACTAAGGAGCAGCTCCAGCCTGGAATTTCGCTGGAATTCGTCATGTCTAGAGGTTACAGAGCACAACTTTCAGCTTTTAACAGCTTGAGCTTTTCAGGCATTTCTCAGACCAGGGATCCAGCAGGAAAATTCCAATTGGGAACACACAAAGAACTGCTGTGCTGTAACCAGGATGGACAGAGATGGGAGTAAGGGCTTGGATCACTGATATCTACTATCAGAAGAGGTGAAAACAACCCAGTAAAATGCAGCCAGCACTTCCTCCCGTCGTGTTCCACCCTTTGTTGGTGTATTTTAAATTGCCTCCATTAAAGGAACACAGCCAGAAACCCACAGACATGCCCGGAGCAGCGGGAGCTAAACCTGCCGATCATGAATTACCACGAGCTGGGAACAACAAAAACACCTTGGGAATGTGATCCTGTTCTTCCTCCTGCTCAGGGATCAGTTCTCCTCACCCTGCCCACCCCTACAGAGCAGAGGTGGAGCCCCAAAGTGTCCCCACCTTACTGCACCCACTCATGAGCCCCCAGCAGGGGCACCCATGGGAATTCTGCGGGATGTAATGGCCCCAAAGAAATGGGAAGTCAACCCTACAGAACTCTGAACAGCCAGTTTTACTTCTCAAGCACCCAGGCACCTTCAAGTTCCTCTTTCATGCTTCTCCTTGACGTACATTTGGGAAGTTCAGACCAAACAAGCAGATGGGAATAGGACTCAGTCCTGTCACCAACACAAAGGAGAACACCAGAGCGGAAAACGCGAATTACGGGTGATGAAAATGGAATCGCTTCAGGGCATCCTAAGCCAGCACTTTGAGCCACTCTGATCTCCTGAATGCTTTGAGCACGGAAAAGGTTCCTGGGACACAAGTATTGCAACCCTGGAGCTGGGCACAGCACTGCCAGGCTCCAGGGCAAATCCTGGCATCACCTGGGCACCACAACTCAATGCAGAGCTGCAACGTGGAACAACCCATGCAACCAATTAACTGTGGGAAGCAGTCTGCAAGGAAAGGGAAGAAAAATCTGGATCATTCCAGAGATTCTTGCAAGAGCTGTGGTGGTGCAGGCAAAAGAACAAACCTGCCCTCCAAGGCCAGCAGAGTTTGTACAGGGAAGAGCTTGATGCTTCAAGCAGTATTTGCTGCTCCTCGTCTGACACTCAGACCATACAGGGGAAAACCAATCAAATACAGCTTTTTGGAGGGAAAAGTCCCTTTTAGGAGAAATTATTAACTGCCCCCCACAGGTAAATTCCACCTATCCCTGCTTTTCCACCTGGAAACACATAGGACTATTTCTGGACAGGGCAGAAACGCCTCCCAGACACCACCCATGCTCTGCCAGGGAACTCGGCATGTTCCTCTGTAAATCCACCCAGCATCACCCTCACACATCCAGCATCAACGTTCCCAAGCCACAAACACGTCCCTGCAAGGCAGAGGCAGTGGCTCAGACACCAGGTCCATGGAACATTCCCAAAACCAGCTTTGGGCACCTCCCAGCACGAGGCAGAGCCTGAGCAGGGCACTCAGAGCACTGGGGCTGCTCCCCTTCCACAAAGAACTTGGCTAAGCAAGGTCAGAAGCCAAGAAAATGCAGGTCCCAAATTCTTTACACTTTTTCTTCAGTTTCTCTCCCAAGAGATGCTTGGGAGAAACTCTCTGGAGCTGAGCAGGTCCCAGTGTAGGAAAACCACTTCAGGACATCAAAGCCAACTTCCCTAAGGATTAGGGCAGCCTTAAGGCAGACTCAACGTGCACCTGCTCCGTGAGAGGCATGTGTTCACTTTGATCACACCCACACTTGTGCAGACCTCGATTGTGTAACCAAAAAAGACTGAAGAGTTTTAAGTTTTAAACAGAAAAATGTCTCAGGAGAGTATAAACCTTTCCTGAAGGATCCAGAGTCTTACGGTGACAAGTCACAGCATGGTTTGTTCCTGTGCAGAGACCTCCCAGCAACATTTGAACGAGACAGGTACAGGCTTATTTTAGCAAAATGAGGGTGTAAACATCCAAAAAAACAGACCCCCATGAAGTAAAGAGCTTTTGGCAGAGATAGCAGAACTCAGGCTTCCAAAAGCTCCAGCTGGCACCTTATGGAGCTCTGCAAAACCTGGCAGTGCTGCACAGGACACAGAGCACTCCCAACCCCACAGCAACAGTATTAGCACATCATTTTCCACTTAAACATTCCCACCAGCAGCTGCTCTTGGTTCAGCCATTCCTGCATGGCTCAGGACGAGCTCAATGCTCAGATGACACCAGGATGATGTGCAGCAGGAACAGCCCCAAAGAGGCACACAGCCAACACCCTCCTGCCCTCCAGACTCACCCCAGGGTCAGTGCATGGGCCAGGAAACCCTCTGGGGGTTTGGATCCCAGCTTTGGGATGCCAGTGCTGAACCTGCAGGACCTGCCCTGCCCAGCCTATCTCATTTTTACTGTAACTCGAGCCTGCTAAGGGGGAGCCACAGTCCTTACACTGGAACTTACACTTACACTGGGTTACTCTGAGGAGTTTTAGAGCTGGCATTAGTATTTAATAAGGTGAAGCCTCTGGTATCAGCCCAGATAATGGTCTGACAGCACTGGTTCCGTATTGTATTCAGACTCTGAATTGGGCCAGTACGGGCTGCACCACAGCAGAAGCTCGGTGCATGATGGATTCATGGCTCCACACTGACAGAGAAGAAGTTTGGATCAGATATTAGGAAATCCTTCCCCGTGAGGATGCTGAGGCTCTGGCACAGGCTGCCCCATCCCTGGAAGTTGGATCCCTGGAACCCAAGGCCAGCTTGGACAGGGCTTGGAGCAGCCTGGGACAGTGAAAAGTGTCCCTGACCATGGCAGGGGGTGGAACTGAATGAGCTTGGAGGTCCCTCCAACCCAAAGCATTCCGTGATTCTGTGATCGCTGTGCAGCTGGAGAGGGAGTCAGAAACACGAGATGGAGCCAGAAACACGAGGGTTCGCTGGCTGTGGCCACCCCGGCTGTACCGGGACAATTCCCCATCCGGACCCGGCTAGGACAGGGTTGGAGGGGTCTGGGCTTTGCCGGGATCGCGGTTCCAGAGGCTCCGCAGCATCTCCGGCTCTGTCCCATGCAGACACGCGCTGCCGGTACCGGCACAGCCCCGGGCGGTCCCCGCCGAGCCCCCCCGGCCCCGCTCCACACGCGGGACGGACACGCGTGGGGGACACGGGCGCCTACAGCGGGAGCGGGGCCGTCTCCACAGGCTGCTCCGGGCCCGGCCCGAGCCCCGCAGCCCGCGGACTCCCCGCGGCACCGACCGACGGCTCCTGGGACAGGCCCGGCCGGGGGCCACGTCCCCAGCGAACCCCCCAGCCCGGCCCGAGCGGGCCCGCGGTCCCCGCCCACGGAGAGATCGGGCCGGGGGGGAGGAAGCGGCGGGCCCCGGGGGCAGCGAGCGAGCGGCCCTTACCTGTGTCCGGGGGTCGCGGGGGGTGCCGGGGGTCCCGGGGACTCCGGGGCTCAGGCTCCCGCCCGGCCGCCGCCGCCTGGCGCCGCTTCCGGGTCCGCCATGTTGGAAGGGCCACAGAGCTTCCGGGGAAGGGGGAGGCGGCGACCGAGCGAGAACCGGGAGCGGGGAACGGGGGAACGGGGGAACCGGCAGTGGGCAGCGGGAGAACTGGGGGAACGGGAAACGGGAGTGGGCAGCGGGGGAACGGGAGAACCGGGCCCGGGGCAGCCGGGCCAGGCCGCGGGGCGGGAAGCAGGAGAGGCAGGGCTCGGAACTCGGTCTCGGTGGGAGCTGCCAGGGTGGCCCCGAGTGATGAACGGGCAGCGAGGCCCGGGGCCGAAGGAGCCCCCGGGGCAGAGGGAGCCTCCGGGGCCGCCTCCCCCCATTCAGGAGCGGGCGCTGCCCCCGGAGCGGCGGGTCCGGGTCCACACCCAGCCCAGGGGCTCCCGGGGGGGCTCCTGTGGGTCCCGGCACCGCCCGTTCCCATAGGATTTGCACCGGTGTGGATCCGGAGCATTCACGTTTCGTCTCACATCCATCCATCCATCCATCCATCCATCCATCCATCCATCCATCCATCTCAGGATGGGATGGAAATGGGAGGCAAACCAAAGTCCTGGAGCAGCCTTGGCTGTGCACACCATCAGCACCATCAGACTCCGCAGCCCGAGTGGAGTCTGTCCAGTCCTTTTCCTCTCGAAAGAAAAGGAAATTCCTCACTTTTCCTCCCTGCAGGACTGGGGCAGCAGCTCAACCCACAGAGGACACAGGAGAGCTGGAAACACTCAAACCCTGAGCAGCTTCCAAGGATTCTGCCCACTCCCATGCCACAAGTCGTGCTGCAGGAATTAAATGAATCACAAGGCTGGAGAATGACCTGCTCCTCACTCGTTTTCCCCACACTGGGCCTTTTAATATTTTTAATTTCCCATTTCTTGCATTGGATTCATGCCATCTTTGCAGTCTCACAGTAGGAACAAAATCCCAGGGGGTCGCACAGAAGCCTCCTGGATGGGTCTGTTTTTACACCAGCACAGCAGCAGCCAGAGGGAACTGATTTATCCCCAAGAAGGGAAGTACTGGCAGATGGGAACCACGTTAACACCAGGTCCTTGGGAATTCTGGGTGCGTGCCAGAGACAAAGAGGGAACCAGGAAGGTCTGTGACAGTCCCCTTCTCCCCCTGCTAATCCCACTGCTCCCATCCTTCATTCATTTGCATATAATAATTAATCAAGGCAATCCTGTCACATTTTCCAACATATCCTTCTTACAGAGATCCTTCTTTTGAATCCCCCCCAGCTCTTTATTTGGTGTTACACAAATACAAATAAATAAGCACAGTGGGAGAACACACAGGGATCCATCCAGCACTGAATCTGCCTCCTCCCAGAACCACCAAACCTGGTTTTCCCTTACCAGGATCTCTTCCTCCTCCCACCCCAGCCCAGATCCCAAATCACACAGGAAACCCCAATGAAGCAGAAGTGATGCTGGGAGACTGTGCCTGCACTGGTGGGAGATGTGGGGACATCTGAGTTGTGTCCTGGTCTGTTTGCCCCTTTACAGGAGCAATGTCCCTGGAAAACAGCCTGGCTTCTCCAGGAACAGCCTTTCCCAGGCAGCTGGTCCCTGTAAGACAGCCAGTCTCAGGAAATGGGGACAAAGATGGGAGTTTTGGGGAGCTGGTCCCTGTAAGACACCCAGTCTCAGGAAATGGGGACAAAGATGGGAGTTTTCAGGCCCTGATCCCATGGGCTCAGCTGCACAGCAGCTCCACATTGGGGTGTGCCTGGCTGCTGTCACCCACTGCCACTTCCTGTTTTTTCCCAGAGCCTGGAAATCCCCTGACTTTCCGTGGGGTGAGGGCTGTGGATCCATGCCACCAGCTGGCCCTGTGCTCCCAGAGCTGCGGGAAGAGGCAACCAGGGGACAGACCCTGCCCTGTGCAGGGTCCTGGCAGTGCTGGGGCCATGCTGGGGACCATGCTGGGGTGCCAGAGTCCCACAGAACCATCCCATGTCTGAATAAACCCTTCTGTGCCCCCTTGGCCGGGTTGTGGGGCTGCAGAGGGTGAGAGTTCAGCTCCTGCAGTGCCCTGTGTGCCACAAGCTTGGCAGGTGTCAGCTGTTTCTCCCAGTTTGTGACCTCTCCACTGGAGGGAACAATGCTGGTGCAAATATTTGGGAAAGCCCAAGAGCCTCTGGCTTTGCCTGATGCACCTGCAGCCCCAATGGGGGACAGGGCTGGGGGATACCTGAGGGTACCCCATGTGAGTCCTTGGCTTGCCCCACTCCAGTGGCCATTCCTGGAGTTGAGCAGGATCTTGCCTTTTGGGGAGGATTATTCTGCCACCCTGGTGAGAGAGGGAGCAGGACAGGCAGTGGGATGGGCAGGGAGCAGAGCGTGGAGTGTCAGGAGCTCCTCCAGCCAATCCTGCCCTCCCACTGCTGGGAACACCTCGGGAAGGGGATGCACAGCACTTACCAGAATTTCGGGGATGGGTTCCAGCACTTTGGACTCGGTGCCAAGACTGGAATAAATCACCCGGGGCTCGGCGCTGTCGTGACAGAAGCCGTTGGGGGAGGAGGGAAAGGCAGTGCTAGCAAAACTGCAGGGCTCGGCAGAGCAGCCCCTTCTCTGCATCCCCTCTTTGGAACCCTTGGAACCTCCTCCCGATCCTTCACAGGCTCAAATTCCTTGAACAAACTGGAGCATTGCAGTGCTCTGACTCTTTGGGGACTCATGGGGCCCTGACCCTGCTCAGGCCCCCCAAAACGGGCTCAGGGTTCTCCCACCTGTGCTTTGGAATCCATGCAGTGCCAGCAGCTCTCGTGGAAAGGGAGAACTCATGGATTTGTCCTGCCCTGCCTCAAATGAACTGCTCAGCTCTCGGAGCTGGTGCTCCATGCTGCAATCCCAGCTGAGTTCGGCTCCATCCCTTCGGCCAAAGGGTTCGAGCCTCCGGCACAGTGGGGCTGGAGGCAGCTGCAGGGGTATCGTGGTTGCCCTGAGCTGACACTGCACAAACCCCATGTACCGGCACCGGTTCCCGATGTTCCCGGCCGGAGCTGCAACTCCGGGCTGGACCCAGGGAGCTCCGGTATCCGGTGAAACCGAGCCTCGAACGGCCCTGTGGAGGGAGCAGCGTGCGCAGCCCAACCCTTACGAGCCACCGGAGGATGCCCGCAGGAGAAGCGGCTCTGCCGTGGCCGGGGCCGTGAGGGGGAGGCGGCGCAGTTCCCTCGGGCCGTGCCAGGGTCTGGCCGGGCGCTGGAGCCGGGCGCCATCATTTTGGGGATGCCCTCGCAGTTGCCTGGCTGGACTTACACAGCCACGCTGGGCGGGATGGGACGAGGCGCAGCCGGAACCGAGCGGAACGGCGCGGGCTGGGGGAGCGGGTTCACCCCAAACCCGAAGCGGCTGCAGCGCGACCCAAGCGCGGCGGGCGGACCGTGAGGGCGGTGGGGCAGGGCCGCTCCCTGGCGGGGCAGGGCCGGTTCCGTCCCGGTCCCGTCTCCATGACTCCCGCGTGCCCTTTACCCTCCGCCCTTCACCGCCTGTCGCCCCGCCTCCGAGCGGTGATTGACGGCGCTTACAGCCAATCGTAGCGCGCCGCCGCCGCCAGCCCCGCCCTCAGTCGCGACGGACATCGCCTATGAACTATCACACTGAATTGCACCTTAAACCGCGCCCATAGAGATGACGGACAGCTCAGTTAACCCATCATATAGCCCCGCCGCCGGCCGGAGTGGGTGGGAGGGTCGTTCGTAACGAACCAACCGGAACCCGACGTGATGCAGCCGCGGCCAATCAGCGTTCGAGCGCTCGGGGACGGGACCGACGGCGTGGCCAATGGGGGCGCGCGCTGGGGCGGCGCGAGGCGCGGAGCGGGGCGGGGGGGGGGACGGAACGGCGGGGGCGGGCGGGGACAAGATGGCGGCAGCGGCGTCGGCGGCGCGCGCGCGGCGGGGCGGGCGGTAACGGGGCGGCGCGACCGGGACGAGGAACGGGACCGGGGCCGGGAGAGCGCCAGGGGGCAGCGGCCGAGGGGCGGCCCCTGAACTTGGGGGGACGCGGGAGGCGGCGGCTCGGCGGGGCGGAGCGCGGCGCCGGGGCCCGGCCCGGCTCCCCCGCCTGGCGGTGGGGAGGGGGGACTCGGCCGCCCGCCCCCCCCTCCCCCAGTTCACCGTTCGGGCCGGCGGGAACGGCCGGAGCTGCGTGCGGGGTAGGACCCGGCCCGAGCCGGGAAGGGCCTGGAGGTCACCGAACCCCCCCCCCCCCCCCCCCTCCGGGAGTCCGTCCCGTCCCATCCCGGCTCCGGCGCTGATTTTGTCGCACTGAAAGTGTCCTGTCCCCTGTCACCTCTCTCTGCTCTCCCGCCGTACCCTGCCGCCAGCCCCGGTGACACCTGTGGGAGGTGCGGGAGAGACCGTCCGGGCCAGGTGGGCATCCCTGACCGCCCTTCCTCTCTCCGTGAGGAACTGGACACCGGGCAGGAGATCCCCCGGGAGCAGCCGGGTGTTGGGGCACGGGGCAGAGGGTCTCCCTGAGCCCCCCGGGATCAACGGGGCCGGGGTGGGTTGTGTTGTCCTGCACCGCTGACACCCGGAGCAGAGGTGGTGGTGACACATCATGTGCCGGGCGGAATCCCGGTGGATGAAGGATGCCCCCGGGAGCTCTCGGTAGGCACCGAAGGCCTCAAACTTTTGTAGGCGAAAGCGAAGACGCAAGAATTGATTGGGAAAACTCCTTCAAGGAAACTTGCTTCCAGCTCCCCAACGGCTGAACCCCCACCCCGCGGCCCGTGCTCCGGGGGGAGCACACACCTTCCCACCCCGGCTGGGATCATGAGCTCCTAGGCATGGAAAGTCACGAGAGGGACTGGGAGCTGCTCTGGTTCCACGGGGTGGCCTGACGGGCCCGGAGATGACCTAACTCTTTAGGATCAAACTGGGCCCAGTCAAGGCCAGTTGACTGGGAAGAGCCCCCGGTAGCGGGACCGGGTCGGAAGCAACGTGAGTCCCAAACTGAGTGTGTCCCGTCACAGATTTATGTTCTTTTTCAAAGACATTCTGGAGCCAGGCCGGGATCTTTTGGCATCCAACTGACCTGGAAGCAGCTCTTAGGTTTGGTTTTCTTTTTTCTTTTTCCTTCTTTTTGTTGGTTGTTTTTTTTTTTTTTTATTATTATTATTCATGTTTGTACAATCTTCTGGATATTTTTTTCCCGAGAAGGAGTAAAAAGGGAGTGTTGGAAACTTAACAAACAGGATTAAAGCCTTGAGCGCTTAAGGAAAAAAAAAAAAAAAACAACAAAAAAACAAAACAGGTTAAGGAACTTAATCCAGGATGGATCTGCAGGAGCCCCAGCAGCTGGGAATGTTTGCAGAGAGCGAGCTGATGTCGGTGGGGATGGACACGTTCATCCACCGCATCGACTCCACCGAGGTCATTTACCAGCCCCGGCGCAAACGGGCCAAGCTCATCGGCAAGTACCTCATGGGAGACCTGCTGGGAGAGGGCTCCTACGGCAAAGTCAAGGAGATGCTGGACTCAGAGACCCTGTGCAGGAGAGCTGTGAAGATCCTGAAGAAGAAGAAGCTGCGCCGGATCCCCAACGGGGAGGCCAACGTGAAAAAGTGAGTAAAGAGGTCTGGGAGCTGGATGGGTGAGCTTGGTCCTTGTTTAGCAGCTGAGCTCCTGTGTTGTTTTAGCTGACAGCGTGGCTCTGCTGTGGAAGTGCTTTCTAATCCACAGGTATTTAGTAATCTCTTCCCTCTGAACAGCAGCCAGTGCTCTGGGTGAGGCTGTGCACAGGTTCCCAAGGGCTGGGACAGTCTGGAATACACCACTTTGGTGTCATTTCATGGATAAAATATTGTTTCTTAAAGCAGTTCCTCTGTGTCCTCTCACCTTTCCCAGCCAGCAGCGCCTGGGTGAGGCAAGACCTTACAAACACACCTGGTGTCCTCACAGGGTCATTCCTGTATCTGCCCAGGTGTTCCAAAGGCCCTGGAGCTCTCTGTGGTGGCAATTCCTCCTCCCACCCATGCAGAAGGTGGCTGGAACAGGATCCAATCTATGGGGCACCCCCATGGGCACAGGAAGTTTTGGGCTTTTTTCCTTGGTTTCATTTCTAAGGTCCTTGGGAGTTAACTCAAGGCTGTCGCCAGCTGATTTCTGTGGCTGTAAAATGGGGCCAAGGGTTGTCAGCTCTCTGTGCCTCTGCCACACCTGGTTACTCAGGGCACAAAGCCCTCATGGAAGTGAACCCCAGGAGGGGCTGGATCAGTGGGGCTGGTGTGGGAACTTTCCCTTCCCTGGCCCTCGCAGCAGCTGCGTCCCAGCCCTGCCAGGAGCCTCTTATCAGCCCTGCAGGAGCCTCTGCAGCCCAAACAACCCATGAGGGTTTATCTAGGCTGGGAGGGAGAGCTCTGAGAGGTCGAGGATATTCTTGTGCTGCTCTGCTGTGGGTGAGCCCTGACCTGCAGAGTCCCGTGTCTGTCCCTCAGTTTGATTTCCCAGTTTAGCTGTGGGATATTTCACATCCTGTCCCAGCACTGCTGTCAGGGAGCTCTCTCGCTTTGCCTTCCAACCTTTCTTGACAGCCTTGGCTGTGGAACAGTCACATCCCAAGGCTGGGACCTCCCTGTCTCTCCCTTCCTGGCTCAGGTTCAGGATCGAGCAAACTTGGTTAATGTGTAATAAAATGTTTCTTGTTTTTCTGGTGGAGGCTGAGTGCCCCGTCCCTGGGTCCCTCCACGGGCACATCCAGAGCTGCCACTGGGGAACCTGGAGATCGTTTCCTCCTTAGAGAAGCTTTCAATGTAAATTAGGTAAAAAGAGCTTGCCCACATCAGGAGAGTTCCCTGCTCTCAGAGCCATGGGAATGCTCCTGTGTCCTGAGGTGAACTCTGGGGAAGTTTTATTCACACCCAGAATGGGGCTGTGAGTATCAGATGGGTCATTAAGGGAGTTATTAAAAGGGACTTTCTGTGGACTTTTCCTGGCTCAGTCCCACCTGCTCCAAAACACCAAGGCAGATTTTAGGTCTTGCCTTGTACCCAGGGGTTTACTTTAGTTCAAGTTCCTATTTCTGTTCCCTCATCCTTTTCCCTCTGCCCACCTCTCCATGTGCTTTATCTGCTGCTTCAGTGGGGAATTTTAAGGCAAACTGTTGTATTTTGTGGTTCCCTGGTCCCCTGGCACTCTTGAGCTTATCAGAACCCTTCAGCACTGCTGTGAGAGGGAGTGAAAGCTGTGTCTGCTCTGAGTGTGAGATATGTGACCAAACCCAGGTGTCTGAGTCCTCAGTGTGGGAGGAACAAAGTGCAGTGGGGTCTCCAGGTAGTGCTGGACAGGACACTGACACAGTATTTTAATGTCAACATGGCCAGATTGAACTGGAATCTCACTTTGGGCAGCTGTGTTGGAGCAGTTTTGGGGAGTTTCTGCCCAAAAACTGCTCCTGTGCACAGGACAGCAGGAAATCAGTTTGTGGGCTGGATCACACTGTTGGGTCCTGCTTTCTCTCTTGGAATCTGATCACTGAAGTGGTTTCCAGTGTTTCCTACCACACAGGGGAAAGCTGCACGTGCGGCTTGGGCTGTTGGGCAGAGGTGATTGAGTTACTGTGGTGGGCTCCTGCCTCAGAGCTGCTTCAGCTGTGCTGATAGCACAGGAATGGAATTGTCATCCGAGGAAATCCCTGGAAAACGCTTCCTAGACAGTGGCCCTTGGGTAATTCCACAAGCAGTAGCACACAGGGAGTAATGAGAGTGCACTAATGAGCTGTGGAGGATCATAGAGGTCTGAGCTTGGGCACCTGGAGATGTTGGGCTGGAAATAGGATGTTAATGCCAACCTTGGGTCACTCCTTGCTGATATCCCAGGCCACAGCCTCATCTCTGCCCCAGCCCTGTCTCCTGGTGTTCTGGAGACCCAGAAATTGCAACTAAAACATGTTTGGGACTTCCATCAAATCAAATTATTTTTCTCTACCCCAAAATACTCCACTTCTGCCCCAGGAAAATGAGCCCTGAAGGGCTCTCTGAGTCCTGGGGAGGATGTTGAGGGCTTCAACTTGTAAGACACAGTTTCCTTAAACCTATTGGGAGAATCATTTCTCTTTAGAGCAGGTGGAGGTGGCTCATTCAGGCGGACACTGCAGAGTCTCATCCCTGCAAAAAAAAAAGGAGTTTAGTGGGATTGCCAAAAAGAGGCAGGAAAACCTGGCAGCCTGTGGCTGCAGCAGCAGCAGAGGTTTAATAACGCCGTGTGCTAATAGCCTGACACGTTAATTAAGTGTTTGGGGCTCTGTGGGATCCCAAGTGCCCTGTGCTGTACTTACCACCTCAGCGATTGCTCTGCTTGGAATTTGTGCTCCTTGGAATTCCTCTGAGGGTTAACCTGGGTTATGGGGATGTGCTGTGGCGGTTCCTGGGGTCTGCAATTCCCAAACTGGAACCTCCAAACGGGGACAGCTCTGCTGGGGAAGGATTTGCTGGAAGCTCTGGAGGTGTGAGCTCAGGTGGGAATGAGCTGATCCCTCCTCCTCAGAGACGTGTTCCCCTTGGAGCTGTGTGGCTCAAGGACTTCCTCTGCTGAGCTGGATGTTTGCTTGGCTTGAGAGGTGAAATGCTGGGACCTGTACTCCGTGGAAGAGCCCAGAATTCTATATTCTGATGGATATAGAATTTGGAATGCCAGACATCCCTGCAGGAGCAGGATGTGGATGGAATCTTGGGACTAGGAAAGAGAAAAAGAGACACTGAAATCTTCCTGGCGCTTCCAGCCCTTGGGCTCACACACTCCTGGAGCAGGTGCTGCACTTCCTAAGCTGCCAGGATGTTGTGGGAAGAACCTTGTGAACCATAGGAAGGCAATGAATCTTTTGGCTGTGTTTGGCTGTGTTTTGTTAGGCTGGGAACAAAGCTGTAGGAAGAACACTGGATCTCACAGTGGAGATGTCCAGGAGGGGGAATCTGCTTTCCAGGCTGCCTTTGGCATGTTCCAAAACGCTGTGGCACATGGAACAAAGGGGGCAGCTTTGCTGTTTACAGTTCTGAGCAGCAACACCCCCTGTTATTTACCAGAGCAGGTACCTTGCAGGGGATAAATCTTAATCCAGCAGGATGAGCTTAATGGATCTGACAGAGCTCAAGTCAGGTCTTTTTTCCCCCTTGTCTCCTTCCCTTGGAAGCAGGCCTTGGCCTCTGGCAGCCTGTCTGCTCACACACTTGCTGTGGGCTGTGGTGGGGTTTTGTTGGTAGTTTTGGAAGAAAAGAAAAAATCAAATTTAGGCCTGTTCTGGGGAGGTGAGACCTATGTTCCCCTACTGGAGGGGTTTGCAAAGCGAGATGGGATTGGAGGTGACTGGGCTGGCTGTCCCTGCTCCTCAGGCATTCCAGAGCAAAAGAGGGGCTAAAAATAGAGGTAATCTTTCCTCTGGGAAAAGGGTGGCTTGGCCTCTGCCCCAGGGGTGGGGGCACTGCCCTGGCATTTTGGATTGGTTTGCAGAGTCCTCCTGGGAGGGGGGGGAAATCATTACAGAAACATGAGATATTTATTTGTCTGTTGAAGGTGGGAGGAATTTGTGTTTGTGCTTCTGAGTTGTATTACAGGGAATGAGCTGTTTGGATCAGGATTTTAAATGTGTTCCCAACATTTTGGCCTTAAAGTTGTGTTTGAGTGTGTTTGCTCCCCTCTGGCAGCCCTGGTTGGATCCCTCAACCCTCTCCTTTCATGCTGCAGGATCTCCTCAGCTCCACACTGACACTGGCTGCTGTTCCTTGTGCTAATTTAATCCACTTCAGCCCTTTGGTCATTCCTATAATTAGACTTGTCTGCCATGTCCACACAATACTTGGGAGTTTTGCCGTGGTATCCTGGGTCTCTGCTCAGCTCTTGGTGGATTCTTCTAAATCCAGAGCTGAGAAAGGAGTCTCTGGCCTTAATTTTGGTAGTGAAATAATTCCCACTGCTCAGGCATCCTTAAAAGATCAGTGAGGATTCTCCTTGCACTCCTGCATTGGAGAAGCCCTTTCCAAGGAGCAGCTCCTGGTTGTTGCTCAGCCTTTGTGCTGGCCCCAGCTCATTACTGGAGCTGCTAATTGTGCCCGTGAGGGGCTCTGAGCTGGCTTTGGGCAGGGGCTCTCACTTCCAAGGCTGTGCTCAGAATTCCTTGTAATGCAGCTTCCCAGAGGCTGAGCTGATGAAGTGTGACCACACTGCTTAAAGCACTCACCAGATCACTCTGGGAAGGAGAATTTGGGAGCTCAGCACAGCCCAGGATGGAGCAGCAGCAGAACAAAGTGAAAAGCAGGACATGCACTGCCAGGCACCAACAGAACCACCCTGACCTGACTGTCCTGCTCTGCCTGTTTCTCCACAGCTGGCATCCAGTGGGATTTTGCAGGATGAGTTTAATGCAAAAGAGACTAAACTGTGGTTTGGGACAGGTACAAAATCCCTGGAGCCAAAGATCAGAACAGCTGACAGAGGGTGACATTCAAGGGACTGTTCCTCAAGCCAAGGGAAGGTGGCTCCTCACTGTTTTACCTTATTTATTCCCCACAAACACAGCATTCACTTCAGGTCTCTGAGCCATTCAGTCAAGTTAAGTTTGGGTGAAATTTTGGAAGAAATGGAGTTGGGAATAAGCTTTTTAAATGTAACTTTTTCCTTGTCTCTTCTTGCAGGGAGATCCAGCTCCTGCGGAGATTACGGCACAAAAACGTCATCCAGCTGGTAGATGTGTTGTACAACGAGGAGAAACAGAAAATATATCCTTTTGCACAGGGCTGGTGATCAAATTTGAGCTGCCACTGTTCTCTGCTGTACTTCTGCTTTTGGGAAGGCCCTTTTGGATGTTTCTTAAGCTTAAATTTTTGCAGCTAAATTGCTTTTGCTGCTAATAACCATCCTGCCCACCTGGCAGACTTTGCACACAAACACAAATTCACACACACACTGATCAAGGCAATTTCATCCTCACTTTGCTGGATTTTGTGTGACTCTGCCACGCTGAGAGCACTTTGTCTGAACCAGTGTGGAAATTCCTGGGGCTGATCCCTTGTAGCATATGTTATAAATGGATCCTTTTATTTTTGACAGTGTTTTCTAACTACTGTCTTCTTATTACAGTACTCCAGAAAAGGAGTAATTTAATTGTGTGCATTAATTAGATCAAACACTCTGCCACCAGATCATTAGGATAAAGGAGTGTGACAGCTTCTGCTTGTTCTGTGGCCTCTACAGAGTGAGGGGACTTCAAGTCAATTATTGATAGAGAGATCCTGGTTAATTAGGTAGAAGGGAGGAGGCAGCAGGGGGAAAAGGAGCCCGAGAGAGACATCGTGTGTTGGTACCAGGTGATGACAACACAAAACCATCCCTGGGAAATGGGATCTCTCCAAGGATGCTCCTTGCTGGACTTTGAGCAGTGCTGGTCCAGAGTTGGTTTTCAATGCTTTTCCCTTGCAAGGACAGGTTGGCTTTTTTGTTTTTATCTTTATCTGCTTCTACACTCTCACAAAGTTTGTTCTTCCCTGTGCTGATTCTGGGGGAATTGGTTTCCACTGGAACTTGGAGCAGGAATTCATCCATGATTTTGTTCAAGCCCTTCCCCAGCTCCTGAGTGGCACTGCCTGTGCTGCATGTCCTGGGCTGTGATAGAGCAGACCTTGAGCAGCCCCATGGGGAACAATTTTGGGAACAGATCCAGCAGAAAAGGGACTGTTTCCTTGAGGCTACCCTGTGGGCAGGGCCCTGAGTCATGCACAGGCCTGTGTTGGTTCCTTGTAGGAGGCAGAGTTGGGATTTAGGGGGAGATGTCAACTTCCCCGTTGGTGATTAAACAGAAAAATCCTAATTTCCAGACAAGCACTGTGGGATTGGAAATTGGGGCTGTGGAAGGAAGGATTTTGTTCCCACCTGAGTGTTCTGTTGCTGATGGAGGAGCACTACAGGCTTGAGCTGTTTGTCATAGAGTCACAGAATGGCTTGAGTTTAAAAGGACATTAAAGCTCATCCCATTCCACCACTGCCATGGGCAGAGACACCTTCCACTATCCCAGGTTGCTCCAAGCCCCATCCAGCCTGGCCTTGGACATTTCCAGGCATCCAGGGGCAGCCACAGCTTCTCAGACCTGTGCCAGGGCCTCACCATCCTCACAGGGAAGATTTTTTTCCTGATCTCCCATCTAATCCCCCTCTCTGCCAGTGTGAAGCGATTTCCCCATGTCCTGTCACTGTGTCCTCTTCTAAAAAATCCCTCTCCATCTTTCTTGTAGGCTCCCTTCAGGTTAAAACTGCGTTTGAGCAACTCACCTAATAAAAACCTTCAGTGATTTTTTTTTTTTTTGGTGAGAAAGGGAAAACTGTGGCAACTGGATTAAAAATATCAATGACTTTTAGTATTTAAGGGCAGTTTGCTGGCCTGCTGTGGCTGGGAGTGCAGAGCTAGTGGTGAATGGAGAACTCATCCAGGCAGAAAAGGAACCCAGTTCCATGAGCAGCATCCCAGGGATCCCATTACCAGTGTGTAGAGCTGAGTGTGGGAGCAGAAGCCCTTGAGGAGGAGAACTGAGAGCTTGGGGCACCTGTAACAGATCTGCTCCAGCCTGGGAGTCTGTTCCCTAATCTGATTGATCAACCTGAAGTGGATCAGTGACCAGGGAGGGCTGAGGAGCAGCCTGGCTGTTAATGACACCCAGCCAGGGCTGTCCTTGAGCCTCTTTGCTCCCCAGGAGCTGGTTTGGATTATCTACCACCACTGTTGTTCTCCTGACAGTGGGAGAGTTGGTGTATTCCAAATCTGATAGGAGTAGTTCACAGATGTCTTCTTTAATAAGAAAGGCTAGGAATAAATTTTGGGAGCTCTCTCTCTTCTGTTCTTGCTTTTATTGATTTTATTGATCTGAGAATATTCATACCCATCATAAATTCTGGTTTAGGGTAAATTTAGAGTATTTTAGGGTCTCTCATGGGGAGTGGAGCAGGAATTTAATGAGCTTTCAGTGTTTGGAGCTGCTAGATGGAACATGCTGGAAAGGGGCAGCAGAGTCTTCAGCCCAGATCCCACACAGGGCAGGAGTTTCTCTTCTGCCTCTTCTACCTCAGGTGGCTTCTTGGGGAAATGTAACTTATTTTGGGTTTAGGTTAAGAAGGCAACTGCCTGGAGGAATAACTGACCATGCTCAGGATTGTAAGGGAGCCCTGGCAGCCTCTGCTCTGTCAGGACACTCCCCAATGTCCCAGGGTCTGTTCTCCCAGGCCCCTCCAAGCCAAACTTTGCCTTCAAAAGCCCAGGGAGAGGAGGAAACAGACAACTACAACATCAGGCAGTCTGGTTCCTATTTTTTTGGCCCCAACATTAAAGCTTACAGAGATAAAAACTGGAATATGCTGCAAGGGAACAAATGCTGCAAAGTGCCAGCAGCTCTTGGCATTCTGTTGTAACTGTTTTTATCCATGTGGTTTCACAAAGCTTCTCAGCTCTCCAAGGATCCTTTTTCCTGCTACTGGAATACTCCTGTAGAGCTGGGGTTAAGCAGCAGCTGTTTCATAGAGCACACAACTGGGTTGTTTGGGACAGGGAGTGAGGAATAACCAGCTTTGGGGAAGGTGGTGGGAGCTCACTTTGAGCTGCAGAGCACCCAGGGCCCTGGGGGAATGGGCTGCAGCTCTTCTGCCAGGGAGTTCCCAACTTTCTGTGCCCACTTCAAGGTATTTCCCTGTTCTCTGTCATGCCTGTGAGATCTCCAGCTTATTTTCTGTGGAGTTCCCATCCTGGTCCAGGTCTGGTCACAGAGCTGCAGATGCTCATTTGGCGGAAGGATTTTCCTGTAGGTGCTTTCCTGTCCTGTGGGAGCTGGAGGAACATTCCCTCAGCACTTGGGAAGTGCAGCCATTCCCTCTGGGATGGGGCTGCTGCCCATCTGATGAATGTTTAACACTGAGTGTTGACCCTGGAGCTTCCTTAACTCTGCCCTCACGTATATGGTGATGGAGTACTGTGTGTGTGGGATGCAGGAAATGCTGGACAGTGTCCCAGAAAAGAGGTTTCCAGTGTTTCAGGCTCACGGGTAAGTTCTGTTCCTCTCCCCACTGTGTTCTCTTGAGTTCACTCTGCTTCAGACTGTGTTTGAAAGCAAACCTGGCTTTGTGTAGTAATTTCATATTTTACACCCATGCAAAAAAGTGAAAAGCTCTTGAAGTGGCCAGCAGGGATTGCCTTTAGATTCTGGGAAGAAAACCATCCTTCTATTGATTTTTCTGTTATTTTTGTTTTACTTCATGAGCTGCCCAAGAGCCCCCATGCTCTTGCCTTGCCAAGGGGTGTGAGGGGGGAATCTCCTGCCTAAATGGAGGTCAAGCCACAGTTCAGCATCAGAAAAGACTTTAAAGGCCTTGGGATGGATTAGGGATTGGCAATATCCAGCATGATCTAGTAGCTGGAGTAGTTAGCTGGGATAAGCTGGAGCCCCTTTTACTCCTCAAGGAAAGAAACCTGAGAGAATTCTGGGAATAGATAACAAAAAACATTGTCAGGATCAAATCAGGGCAGAGCAGCAAATCCGTGGCAACTACATAATTTTATGGTCATATTGTCATTTTAGTTTAAGAGATCTCTGAGATTACAGACAGCCTAAGTGAAATTCAGGCACATTAATTTTATTTCTGGGTATTATGAGATGAAACATTTGCCTCTACAACTGCCAGGCTGCATGTGGGTTACGATGATGGCCCAGAGTCTCTGACCACAGCAAAAAGCTCCTTTCTACTGGCTAAAAGTGTTTGATTTTTTTTTTCCCCTCTCCCTCTCTCTGCAGGTACTTTTGTCAGCTTATAGATGGCTTAGAATACTTGCACAGCCAAGGGATTGTCCACAAGGATATAAAACCTGGGAACCTCCTGCTAACAACCAATGGGACACTAAAAATATCTGATTTAGGCGTAGCAGAGGTATGTGAGAAGCACAGCAAAGTCAGAATGGGACATTCTAGATTGAGGTCACCTCTGTGGTGTCATTGATTTATTGTGCATTTAGGTTTTTGTTCTGTTGCTCTTGCAGAGTGCTCTGAGTGACTCTGAATATTTATTGCAATTGGCAAAGCACTTCTTTTGGTAACAGCATGAAACCTCTGCTCAGGAAACACAGGGAGAAGGAAGATGTCAATCTTGGATGAGCCCAAAAGTGGGGGGAAATGGGGATAAGCTGCATAACCTTATCCTTCTTTTTATATGGAAACTGTCTTAGGTAGGAGAGGTGCAAGACTTGTCGCCGTGGCGTGTGGCTGCTGTGGTGGCATGATCTTATCATCTGTAGATGTTCAGTAGAGGAGTTTTCCCCTTTTGTTTCCCAGGTGGAACTTTTCCAAGAGTCACGGTTTGTTTTCCTTGGAAGCCTGACACTGTTTGGTCTCTCCTGCCTCAGGCATTGCATCCGTTTGCGGAGGACGACACGTGCAGGACGAGCCAAGGGTCGCCAGCATTCCAGCCCCCAGAAATTGCCAATGGCCTTGACACCTTTTCAGGCTTTAAAGTCGACATCTGGTCTGCAGGGGTGACACTGTGAGTGCTCAGGAGCCCCCAAGAACTTCACAATTAATGACGCCCTCAGATAGCTCAGTCCTGGCCCAGCTCTGTCATCGCTGCTCTCGTGTGGTGGGGGGAGCTGAGAGGGGGGTGCTGCTCTCTCCTCTGGGTGGGTTTATGCTCCCCAAAGTACCTGTAATTCTCCACAAGGGGATCTTTGCTCTCCATGAGTGGCTCTGCAGCTCCCAGAGGCACAGCCAGGGCAGTAGCAGAAACCACAAGTATCTCCAGTATTTATTTTTAAGTTTTTTCTGTCCTAGACTGTGATGAAAGCAGGCTAAACTTAAAGAGGTTTTGCACATACTACAGATATTCCTCTTTTAGTTTCCCCTTGGCTGCTTTTTGCTTATGTAGTCAGGTAAGAACTGAATACCTGTGGTCTGCTTCTCATCCTGCTTCTCCTTCTGCCTTCACAGATACAACATCACAACGGGTCTGTACCCTTTTGAAGGGGATAATATCTATAAATTATTTGAAAACATCGGGAAAGGCGACTACACAATTCCAGAGGATTGTGGTCCTCCACTCTCAGACTTATTGAGAGGTGAGTCTTCCCAGCTGGTTCCAAAAGGGGTAACATTTATAGATGCAACAACTCCTCAGCTTGCAGAGTGCAAGAAGTGCCAGAGCTTCCTTCCAAGTGTCTTGTGAGGATATGGGATCCTTTTAGTCAGGGAGGTTATACTTATAGCCTTACAAGACTCTGGCAGATCTCCAGCAGTGGTGTTTTCCTGAGATCCACCAATGCCCTGCACAGCTCACAGCCACTGCTGTATAGAATGGGTTCTTGCATTGCTTCCTGTGCTGTGAGAAGCTTTTACATCTAAAGACAAAGCCCACAAGAGGTTTATGTTTAAATTTAAATTAGGTTTAAATTTAAAATGGCATACTAGCATTGATGCTGGACAGTGATAGCACTCTGATGCTGTTTCCAGGCTTTCCCTAATGTCACATACTGAGTACTCAGGTCTGCTGTCCCTCCTCATCAGCCTCGCCTCTGGACTTGTCTCAAGTCCCATTTGTTTCCTTCCCCCCAAATTCAGAGCTGCAGGATATTGGAGCAGTGACAGGTGCCCAGTTTCACAGCAGGGCTGGGATAGGGCCACAAGGACCAGGAGAGTGGCACTTTCTGGGAAGAAAGTTGTGGGTTTTTTTGGTTTTTGTTTTTTTATTCCCATCACTCATTGCAGCAGCTTGATGTTTAGTGCTGAAGAGTCTCTACCTGTGAAAGCTGAGTCAGGCAGGGCAGCAGTTGTGCTGTGCACAGCAGGCAGCCTGGTGAGCCTCTTTGGCAGGAGCTGGGATGTGATTCCAGCCTGTGGGAGAGCCTGACCAGCATTCCCAGTGCCTCCTCTCCCTCAGAACAGCCGGGTGCAGCTGTGCTCCCCAGCCCTCAGCACAGGCTCATCCTCTCCTTTCTCTTCAGCTCTCTGTGAGCAATCAGCCCCCAGATGCAGGATGTTTGTCTTGTTTCACGTTGGTTTTCCTGTTCCTTGTGCTCTGTGGGGTTGGTGAGGGGCTGGGGGGCACTGAGTGCCTCTCTGCCTGCAGCGAGTCAGCTCTGCAGGGCTCCGGGCTGGGCGCGGGTCCCCGGGCCTCAGCGCGGGCCCCTAGGCCTCAGCGCGGGTCCCCAGGCCTCAGTGCAGGTTCCCTGGCTCGGTTCAGGCCCCTGGGGCTGGGTGCAGGTTCCCTGGGGCTGGGTTCAGGGCCTCAGGCTCAGCACAGGTCCCCTGGCTCAGTTCAGGGTCCCCCGGGGCTGGGTTCAGGTCCCCTGGCTCAGTGCAGAGTCCCGGGCTCCGTGCAGGGACCCAGCTCCTGGCTCCGTGCAGGTCCCCAGGCTCCGTGCAGGTCCCCGGGCTCCGTGCAGGTCCCCGGGCTCTGTGCAGGGACCCAGCTCCTGGCTGGGTGCAGGTCCCCGGGCTCAGTACAGAGCCCCAGGCTCCGTGCAGGGACCCAGCTCCTGGCTCCGTGCAGGTCCCCGGGCTCCGTGCAGGGACCCAGCTCCTGGCTCCGTGCAGGTCCCCTGGCTCCGTGCAGGTCCCCTGGCTCCGTGCAGAGCCCCAGGCTCCGTGCAGGGACCCAGCTCCTGGCTCCGTGCAGGTCCCCGGGCTCCATGCAGGGACCCAGCTCCTGGCTCTGTGCAGGGACCCAGCTCCTGGCTGGGTGCAGGTCCCCGGGCTCAGTGCAGAGCCCCAGGCTCCGTGCAGGGACCCAGCTCCTGGCTCGGTGCCGGCCGTGCTGGCGGCAGGTGGTGCTGTCAGTCCGAGCTCTTCCGCTGCCGCCACCGGGGCTCCCCCGGCCCCTCAGCACTGAGGAGCTGCCAGACCCCCGCAGCCCCCCTCGGAGGTTATTTTAGCTTCCCTGGCTCCGTGCCAATGATGAAATCAGTTATTTCCATGTGTTTCCAAAAGCATTAGCCAGCTTTAGCAGCTCTCCGAAGGCGTTACATAAGGCAGCGCTTCCAATGGCGCTCAGCACAGCCAGGATCCGCCTGAGCCTGACACAGGGGCTGCTCACGGCCTGATGTGCCTCACATTGGACCTGCCAGCCCCAGGGAACAGTGGCCTGAGCTCCCTGTGGCATTTGGCTTGTGGCTGCTGACTCTAACGTGGCCTTTTAATGAGCTGGGAATTGCCCAAATGGAGCAAATGCTGCAGTCCTGTTGGTCCGGCAGCAGCTCTCCTAAAGCATCCAGCAGAACTCCTTGGAGGTTTGTGATCAGCCTCTCAGCTGCACTTAGTGCTTCCCCCAGGGAAAAGGAGCGTGGCAGATTTCTCTTTTCCTGTGCTGAGGATATTGACAGCTTAAAATCTTGTGCTTCATTAACACAATAACTCCCCTCCTAGTTCTCTTCCCACCCCTGCATGAGAGCTGGAGCCAGAATTACCTACTCTTCCCTCTGCCTGATTTTACATGGCAGAGCCTTGAAATCTGGTGTCCTTTGTCCATCTCTTACAGCCTGAGTCTCCTCCTGCATCCTCACTGCTGTCAGTTTGTTTGTCTGCATCCCTTCTGTGCTTCAGCACCACAGAGGTGGGAGTTGAGTGGGTTTGGCAAGGAGAGGAGCTTGCCTGGGAGGAGGTGACCAGACCCCTTTCTTTCAGGGCAGTGGGAAGCCCTAAGGATCCCTTTTCCTGTCCTCTCTCCCACCTGAGAACAGTCTTCCACCCTTCATCTTGCTGTGTGCAAGCTGCTACATTGCAAAAGCTGGCATAGCCTTCTGATATTCCCCTTGCTTGCACATTTTCCAATGGTCAGCATGCCAGGTGGCCTCGAGAGGGATGAATTTTGGGGTGGAACTGCCCCAGCTCTGCCTGCTCTGGAGGCCTGAGCAGCTCCCCAGCATCTGCTGAAGGCCAGGGCTGAGCTGTGCAGCCGTGGCACCATGTAGCTATGGTGACAAACCTGGATGCTTTATTTAGTTCCTGCTTTTCCTCCAGAACATCTGCATTTCCTGGTGGGTGCCTGCTCCTCCTGCAGCAGGCTGGAGCTGAATCCATTGCCTGTGGATCAGATACTGTAGGTGGCTGTGTTTGTGTGAGCAGCACAGACACCCCCAGCTCAGCTCTGTCGCTCTGGTGCTTTTGTCTCATCTTTGTGTTGATTTGAAAGGCTCTAAAAGCCCTCACAGGGCTGCAAGTGCCTGGTCTGGGTTTGAGTGAGGCAGAATTCAGTGCAGCAAAGTGCTCATTTCCTCTGTCTGCCAGGGCTGTGCTGACCACAGGCACCACAGCCAGGCTATGAAGCAAACACAAACACACTTTGTAAGGCTTTTTTGTTCTTCTGTTGACTACTTTTGTAGTGTGTCTTTACTTTTTCTTCCCCTTGAGCTTGTTCTTATCTTTGTTCCCTTTTTCCAGAACAGCAGAGTTTAGAGGACTTAAAGCTTCAGTGGTATTTAGCTTGTAAAGAGACTCGCATGACAGTATATCCTCCAGATTAGTTGGGATGCTGCTCCTCATTTTGTCTCCCTAATCAGGGATGAAGCTTTATTTGTACTCTTCAGGGATGGAAAGAAGGGCTGGTGCTGTTTTGTGTGTGCAGTCAGGAGAGATGTGTCAGAGTAGAAGGGTTTATAAATAGTCTTAAGGTTCTTCTGGCAGCATCTGCCCATGGCTTATCAACTCCTGTGCACTTTGCTTCTGGATCAGAAAAATGCACAAGGTCAGCTTTCCTCCTCCTGGGCTAATAGACTTTTACTGGAAGAGGAAGCTCTGAGGCTGCAGCTCTGCATTAATCAGCATCTGGATTGATTTCCAGGCCCTGAGACCTGGGACATGGTGGTTGGATCCTCAGCAGTTTTTGTCACTTCCATGACCTTCCCTTGCTGGGACAGTGAGAGGATGCATCCTGGTGACAGTGGGATGCTTTAATTCTGCTGTGGCAGGGGTCCCCAGGGCTGTCTGTGCCCTTCCAGAGGCTTGGCCTAGATCACAGGCTCAAGATTTGCCTGCAGAGGGAGTTTGTGACCAGAACAGCCAGCTGAGTGCAGGGAGAGGGAGAAGGTCCTGCCTCATTTACAGATTGGCCTCACACTGCTTTTACAGTGGTTGTTAAATATTGATCCAAGTTGGAGACTGAAATGGAATCCAGGTTGAGTCTGTTAATTTTGCTGTTGGATTTCTTCCTGCTTCTCCAGTCCCACACCTGAGACTGTCCTGTGTTCTGAACTCCAGGAATTCTGCCCTGGAGCTGTGCCTGTCCAGGATCACTGAGTGTGATGAGGGGCTGGGTGGTGTGAGGAGCTCAGGGCAGATCCACGATCTCCAGTTTCTGGGTTGTCACTTAATGTGATTTTGAAAGGGTTTTGAAACTGTTGATGTGCTGCAGAGGACACGATACCCCTGTCTGGGCACGGCTGTGTGGTGTCTGTTCTTATCAGTTTAATACCTGATAATTCTCAATGAGGGGACTTCATATTTTAGGAGTCATTTCCTCATGGAAAGGGTTGTCAGGCACCCAGTGAGGTTTGGAGCCCCCATCCCTGGAGGTCTCCAAAGAACACCTGGACATGACCCTCAGGGTGACAAATTGGGGATCAGCCACAGGCTAAACTCAGTGATTCTGTGGCCCCCCTGTATGCACACAGCAAATCCTCTGGGAATACTGGGGAGCAGAGCTTACACTTGGGCCTCCTGAAGCATTCCCTGGCACAGGCTGTCCCATCCCTGCTCGCAGATAAACTCCAGGGAAGTCTTTACCCTAAATGGCCGCAAGCGGCGGCTGCTGCGGGCAGGCGCTCCAGGATGACTTGCCTGGTGAATAGAACATGATGTTTTGTCTTGCTGAAGCCTCTCTTCAGTGCAGGACTTGAGCCACAGAGCTGCCACGAGTGACTCAGAGCTGAATGTATGAATGTACATTTTCAGTGAGGACACTTTCAGATGTTGCCCCAAATGTGGTCATTTTCTCATTGAAGTAAAAATTCCTTTTGCTCGATTATTTTCCTTCTGCCTTTTTAATGGCTTCAGAGCAACAGCTCCCTGTGCTGTGGCTGTTTGTGACTACTGCTCTTTTAATCATTTACCTTCAACTTCTTCTCCTGCTTGTACCGGTTTCATCTGGTAAATGCCTTCAATTTCAAAAACACCTTGAAGTGTGGTTTTTAAATAAATCAGTGGGGGGAGTGGGTGGTGTCCTGACTTCCTGTTTCTTATGACATGAATAAGAGAACCAACCAGTACTCGTCCCCTAATCTTCATGTGAGAGCTCTTTGCAGCCCTATTTCTTAAAAAGAGAAAAAAAAAGCCAACTCATTTGGGAAGCTCAGCTGTGAAACTGTCTGATCATCTTATTAATAGGTTCTTTAATTAGGTGTGGGATGGGTTTTTTTTCCTCTGAACTTCTTTCTTTTTCTGTAATGTGAGGAGAAATTCCATCTGAACGTGAGAAAACTCCTTTGCTGCCAGGGTTGAGCTCTGGAACAAGTTGCACTTGTGGGGAGGGCGGGGGTGGGTGTTGTAGAGTTTCCATCCTCAAAGACCCTCAAAACCCTGTCCAAACAATGCAAAACTCTGAGGAATTGGGCTCTGAGGACTCCAGTGCCTTGAGCCAGGAACCTGCCCTGTGACCTGGAGAGCTCTTCCTGGATTGCTTTAACTTCCTTCATGTGATGTCATGTGGATCAGTGGTGATCCCATCTGCCTTAAAGCTCTTAATGCTGTCACTAGCATGGATAAACCTTCCCAAATTGCCAGGGCAAAGTGTATTTTGGGTTCTGGGGGTGAAATAACCTCACTCTTTCCCCACTGTACTGTCCTATCTCCCCTCTTTGCCCAAGTCCTGATCTGATGTGATATGAACAGACTGACAGGGAAGATGTTCTGGAGCAGTTTTTGGTGATTTATCTCTTCCATGACCTTTGAATTGTAGGTTCTCATCTCCAAGGCCCTTGCAGCTTCCTGCCTGTACTAGGATGTGTCTCTCCAGCCCTCACTTTCCCAAGTGTCCACCCTGATATCCTGCACCTTTGTGTTCTCAGTGTGTCCTTGTCCCGGCTCTCCCCAGCACTCTGCACTCTTTGCTCCTGTCCTGACTTTCTGAATTCCTGTTTGACAGTGAGTGCTGCTTCCCAGACTTTTCCTGTTGCTGGGTTCCTCCTGTTCCAGCCCATCTCCAAACCCCTCATTTTTCATGCAACCTGTTCAAGACTTCACAGTGCAGGTGCTTCAGGAGCAACAGGAGATCATCCAGTAAAAGCAAAACTCCTTGCAGTGTTCAACCATGAGGCTTTGTTAATGTTCAGAATGTGAATATATTCCTGGAACCTTCATTGGAGAATATCTTGGATGCTGCTGGATGAAACTCTCGGGGTTCCATTGGCTCATTTCTGAAGAATATGGCAAAATTTTCTCCTTGCCTTCTGTTGAGTTGTGAAGCTTCTGAAATGCAGTGGAGCAGAGTGGGCATCCCAGGAGGCTGTTTAAGGAATCCACCTCCCTTTCTCCCAGAGAGAATAGGCATGAGCTGCTTTTCCTGTCCCTGCTCTGCTCACCACCCACCCCAGCTACCTCAGCAGATGATCCCAGAAATTCAATCCTGGCCAGGGCACAGGGATGGGCAGCAGGATGGCTTTTTTTTGTTGTTGTTGATTCTCCCCTGCTGCACCTCAGAATAGAATTCCACTAGACCAGAGGATCTGGGACACTGTGGACATATGCTGTGCCTGAGGCTTTGGCTCTTCCATGGAGGAGGTTTAATGGAATTATCTCTAAAATGCAAATTCTTGATGGGAGAGTTTCTTGGAGCTGTGATTGAGGGCTGGACAAGCCTCAGTCCTTGCACTGGGAGGGAGGGATGGGCTGTACCTGCAGGTGGGAAGCTGGGGAACAGACTGGAACAGGTCAGCAATGGGATTGGGATTTTATGCTGAGTTTCCTGTGGCTGGTGGAGCAAATCCTGCCTGGAGCTGCCAGGACTGGGCACAGCATGGCTGTCAGGGAGGGGAGAGCAGAGCTTTGTGCTTCCTGGCTTTGACTCAGAGTGTCTGTGATCACACCTGGACTTCTTTTCTTCTTTTCAGGGATGCTTGAATACGACCCAGCCAAGAGGTTCTCAATACAGCAGATAAGGCAGCACAAGTGAGTGTTCTCTCCCTGCTCCTCCCGTACCTGTGCTCCTGCTCTCACTTTCTGTTTCCTTTTGACAGCAGACACATGCAAGTCACTACATCTCCTTCCTCCAGCTCTGCTGGGGCTCTGGCAACCTCCACTTGGCTTTTTTCCTCCTATTAGAGCATCCGGTGGAGCACTGGAATTGCTAACCAGTAAATAAGGAATATGTTGGAAGTCTGTTTGTGGCATGCCTGCTTCTGGATAATTAAGGGTTCTGGATAATTTTTTCCAGAGGCCAGCAAGTACTAATGGAGCAGAACAGGAGGTCCTGAAAGCTGTGTTATTATAGTAGGACTGTTCAGTAATGTGTGTTAGTTCTGGCCAGTCTGGGGACAGAAATATCCCCTGGTATTTGCTCCATATGGAGTCAGCATGTGGAAAAGCGTTCCAGGACAATAGGAAATATTTTTTTTTTTCCTTTCTCTTTAATATCACAGTCCTCCCTCCCCCATATCCTCCCCCATTTTCCATGCCATAGTCAGGGGGGGAAATGCCCCGTTATCACTGAGGGGTTTTTTTTCAGGATCTGTTTGAACATGCAGGCTCTGAGCAGAGATTTCCTGGGCGGATAAAAGTACAAGAACAAAAAGCATCATGAGGCTGCTTCACTGCGGAGGCTGCATTAGCTTATCTCCTCTTGGAATGGGAAGTGCTTCTGAGGACAGGCAGAGCTGCCTCTGGACTGCAGCTGCTTGGCCTGTGAGCTTTCCCTGATCCTTTTGGGAGCTGTAAAAGCAAGGATGTGAGCCAGGGTGGTGCTGAGCCCACTCCACGCTGCAGGAACATGCTGCTTTCCTCTTGTGTTTTTGGAAAAGCCATGTGCTGTCAGGTGATGGTGCCTGGGCAGTGCCCAAGGAGCCACAGCCAGAACTGAGAGGCCTGAAGTGCACTGGGGTTCCACAGGGAGCAAATGGAACCAGCTCCAACAGAGATTGGAGGGACCAGGGTGCAAGCAGAGCTGGGGGGGCAAGGCTTATGGAGCTTCCCAGGTGATTAATTAATTGTAAGGACTCTTTTGTAGTAGCCAAGCCCCATGCCTGGGTTATTTCAGGGGCTCTGGGCACAGGCATCTTCCATTCAAGGCTACCTTTCCCTCCCAGAACCAATACCATGACCAGAGGGCATCAGCTTGCCCTGCTTTGTCAGGAAGCACTGCAAAGAAGCAGGAATTAAGTCTGTGGAGTCATCAGTAGGTGTTGAGAAAAGCACTAAAAGCACTTCCCTTCCTGTGGCTGCAGTGGCCACCCCTGAGCTCAGGAGCTGCCCTGGGCCCTCATGGGTCACTGCCAGGTGACTGAGCTGCTTCCCCAATTCCAGATACTCCATTTTGCCCTCCTCCCACGTGGCAGTGGTTTTTTTGTGTCAGTGCTGCCCAGCTGGAAGCACAGAGGGGTCTCCAGAGATGCTGCCTGTAGTTGGAAAGCTGAAGAAACTGGAGCACACCTCTGGCACGGGGCAGCCACCCAGCTCCTCTGCTGCTGTGCTGAGGTTTTTCATCCCACAGCACCAAGAGGGGCTGAGGAAAGGCTCTACCTGCAAACCCAGGAGCATTTCTAAGGCTTAGGCTCTCAGTAGTTTTGTGTGAGCTTAGCCAGTGCTTCTTAACAGGCTTTTCTCCCCTATTGGTAATTGCCTCCTTCCTCCTGCTGTGGCATCTAGTAATTACATCAAGCACAGCAGAGCTTGTGGCCTGGGCCCTGGATGTGTCTGTCTAGCTTCTTTTTTGTGCTAAAGAATCCAGAGCTTGGTTCTCCTGCCTTTTCTTTAAATAGAAGCTTAGCCCTGATGCTTAACCTGACCCTGTTTTTTTGGGGTTTTTTTTTGTAAATGGAACACAGCAGTCAGGACAGCAGGCAGCCATTCAGGGATTGGGAAAGCACTTTAGTAAGAAGACATTTGATTTCTAGAACCCTTAGATTTCATGTATTGGGGTGAGTAAATCATTAATGATTGTGGCTTTCTCTACACTCCACCCTGCAAAAACATGTGCTGAGGACAGGAACTAAACCAGAAAAACATCAAGCAACTTCCCCAGGCTGCCCTGCTGGGATGGATCCCATCTCAAACCAGAATCACCCCGTGCATTTCTATGCTGCTGGAAGTCTCCTTTTATGTCTTTGAGCTGCTGTTCCTGGGGACTCACTCATATGGACAGGGAGGATCATCAAAGTGCTCTGAAACCAGCAGGAGCAGCCCCTGGGCCCCAGGCAGGGGTTTTGCACTCAGGCTGCTGGACCAGGCTCGTGTTCCCCTGCCCTGTGGGAAGGGTGATCCCAAGGGAAGCATCATAGAGTTTGTGTGAGTGTCCTGCAGCCACAGAGGCTCAGGATCCATCCTTCCCCACTTCCATCAAGTGTGAAGGCCCCTGCAGTGGGATCAGGGATAAAATCAGTGGCTATGGGGCACTGAGAAAGCACCAAGGGAGCACAGAGTGCTGTTCCACAGGGAGCAGAGCTGCAGGAGGCAGGGAAGGCATCCAGGCAGCCCAGCAATGGTAATCCAGCCATTCCTCCCATCATTCCTGTCAGCTATTCCAAATGCTTTTGCCCCTGCAGCAGCAGAGGAATGCTGGAGGAAGAGTCTGCTGAGTTTCATCCCTGCCAGCTGCTTTCCTCCCTCCTCACTCCTGCAGCTCAACTGCATCAAACTCCTGTCTCTGCACTTTTAGTGGAGTGAGACAAAGCAAAATGCTGCTCTCTTCAACCCAGTCCATGCAGAGCAGACCTGGAGCTGGAAATGGAAATGAGTTCAACTTCTCCCAGCCTGTCATCTCAGAATTTAGGAACTGCCAGAAACCAACCCCTGAAGTAGCAATGGAAGAGCCTGAGAACCTGCTTTCCCTGGAAGGATCAGGGTGGAATGATGTTCAGTGGAAAACCAGTGCTCATAGCTCAACTCTATGAATATTTGGTGCTCCTGGGCTGGGGATTGTAGGACAGAGAGGAAAAGCTGCCAAGAGCTCAGGAGTTCCAACCTCCTCCCTGTGGATTATCCACCACCTCCCCTCTGCCCTGTGCTTTTGCTGAAGGACTTCCTGCATTTTGTTACTAATTCACTGACCTGCTGCAGCACTTAAAGTGATGAAGTGGATGCAGAATTCTACCTCTGTCCCTTGTTTCCAAGGCAACCATCTTCCCTTCCCTCTCTACAAGTGTCACACTTAATTTGTTCAGGCGCGGATCCGACTGCAGGAGTTCATAGCACGAGAGGGGAGCCACTTCCACTTTTTGGTGGTGGAGGTGCAAATTAACCTGCAGGCTGGGCTCTCCTCCTGCCCTCTGGAGCTGCTGTGCTGCCTTCCCCAGCTCCTGTGGGCTCTGGGATGCTGTGCTGTTCAAACCTGGGGACCAAACCCCTTGGGAATCTGTGTGGTGCTGTTGAGGGCTCCTCTGTAGGGACTGACTGTGCTCTTGGGCTGTGTTTGAGGGAGGGAGAGAGGCTTCTCTGAGCCTCTGCTGCTGCCTGTGCACTTGAGGGCTTTCTCCATCCCTTCTCTGTAGTGCCAGGCAGTGATCTCCCCTCAGCAGGACACAAAGAAGCATTCCTCTTCCTTCCTGAGGCACCTGGCTCAATTTTCCTGCCCTCTGGCAGGACGTGGAAGGGATGTTTCCTTCTTTTACCCACCTTCTGCAAATCAGTTTTGTAACTTGGTGTGTTAAAGGACTGAATCTCCAGAACTTCTTGCAGGAGTCTGAGCCATCTCAGCTCAGCTGGGAGGAGCTGCTGTTTTCATACTTTTGTTTGTTCTGAACCTGACTGAAGAGCTTGGGACATCTCTTGATCCAGAACACTGCTCTGTGTGTGTGTTGCCTCTCCCTGGGACATTGTGTGCCTTCCCCAATTGCCTGTGAGGGAGCTGAGCTAAACTGGAGCCCTGTTCATTGCTGCTTGTGGTGACAGTGACCTTCCAGGGAGCTCGAGGCCCTTACATGGCATCACAGGAGGTGGAGAATTGCTCATCCTGACCCTGGCTGGCAGGGCAGGGAGCTGCAGCTTGGCATCTGCTCTCAGAGAAAACCATCCCTGTGCAAACCAAGCCAACTGCAATGTTTGTGACCCAAATGGGAAGTGAATAGCTGGGAGTGTTGGAAAGCTGCAGCTGTGCTTACAAGATTCTTAATTTAACCTTGCTTATACCAGGACTTGAAAAGAGCAGAGGGAGGACTTGTGATGGGAGATCTGAGCTTGGGAGCTGCAAACCAAACAGGCTCATTAAGCACTGGGCAACCCAGATTCCTCTTTTCCTTCAGTCCTTGACCCTTGGTGTCTTATCTCCCTGTGGCTGACAGCAGCTGTCTGGCCACTTCTGCCTAGCAGGATCACAATTAACACTTGTGCTGCTGCAGGCTGGGGGTTCTGAGCTTTGCAGGCTCCTCAATGAGCTTGTGGAATAGGAGGAAATAATCCCTTACTACTGCTGCCTTCACTCTGAAGCGTTTCTAAGCCACTCCCAGCCCTTTGAAGCATAGAGCAGAGAGGAATCTGCTTCTTGCAGAGGGATGTTCTGCACAAGGGGCATTTCTGAGATCCAAAATATTTTTTTTTTTTTGCCCTCAAGGTTAAAGCAGCTGCCACGAGCACCAGGTAACTGTGTGTGTGCCAGTGCAGTAGGCTCAGAAAACATCCCTGAAACTGGGAATAACTGGTGGAACACTCATCAGCAGGGCTCTGACCCAGCCCATGTTTGGGGTTGTGGTGAGGGCAGGGTTGAGGAGAGGCTTTATCTCATGGCCATCACTGACCAGGAGGTGCTGCTTTCTGGCTCAGGCAGTGGCTTCCTGAGGCAGATGAGGGTGTTCCAAAAGCCAGTGGTCCTCAGCTGAAGAGCAAATCTTCAGTGACCACCTCCAGCACCAGCACAGAAAGCAAAATGTCTGTCCCTGCTGGAAAATCCTTGCCAGGAAATACTCCACTACTCCATACAGAATTGCTCAAGGCTCCTTCCAAGAGGTCTTTGATTTTTCTTAGAACTTCAATGGATTTCTCTTTTCACTCTCTATCCTCATTACCATATATGCATATGCAAGTGTTTGAAATCACCTCCCAGAGGATGGAAGCATAATGACTGGAGTACAGTGATTCAGGTTTCTGCTGCTAATAAAAACCTATTTTTACTCTCCTGGTAAGTAGGACAGGAGGGAAGAGTGAGGCAGAGCTGAAATACAGCAAAATAAAAACACCAGTTGCCATAGACTTCCAGGCGTTTTTCCCTTTAAAATTCTCCTTTCAACTGCCATCATCACTCTGATCTCATTTGTCCTGGATATTCCCTTCTCTTGAGGTCTCTGCTGTGGAGTTTGGATCCCTCAAGCCCCAGTGCCCCTGGCAAAATCAGCTGGTTGCTGGTGGTTCCTCTGGCCCTGTGCTGCTGATCCTGCCAGGCTGGATCAGCCCAGGCTGGGTTTGCTGTCTTGGCAGTCTCTTCCTCAATGAACAGAGTCTGCAGAGAAGAGAAATGGATTGATCCCATTAGGAGAGCAGTGTGCCATGCATGTCACCAAGGAATCCATGGATCTGGGAGGGGCCCTGGGCCAGAATTGAGTGATGTTGTCCAGCAGCTGAGATGGGCTTTGTTCAACTCCTGTAGTGCCCCTTCAGGGACTAGAGGTGACAATTGCCAGATGAGATCTGGTGCAGTTTCTATCCCTCTTCCCAAACAACACCTTCCACCCTGCAGACAAGGGGCTGCAAAACTCCACTGCTGCAGAGAAAACAGTTGAAAGATGCTAATGGTGAGGCAGTTTCTGGATGAGAACTCACCCCTCCCTTGAATCCTGCCTGATTTGTCCCAGTAGCTGCATTTCCATTTGTTTATCTCCTCACTCCTCTCTTTCCCTGATAGTTTTGTTAGAATCCCAGGTTTTTTTTAGGCCGACTGTCAAAGCAGTGTAAGACTAGAACAAAATGATAATTACAGCTCTGCGCAGGAGGTGCCTTCAGCCTTCCTTCCTGAAAGGAATTTGGAACTGGGGTGATAAAAACCAGATGGCTCAGGTTGGTGAGAGTTCTTGGGCTGGCTCAGGCCCTCCTCCGTGCTTGGAGGCCAGGAGTTACAGGATGCCAACTGCAGGGTGGGAAGCATTTGTGTCCTATCAGGCTCATGTGGGCTGCAAAGTTGTGTTAGAGGTACCTGAGTCTGGAGGAACTTCTGCTCCCACCCACATTTAGGGGGTCATTGGGAGTGTGGAGGCTCCAGCAGCCTTCCAGGAAACTTTGGGTGCCCACATGCAGCACTGGGAGATGTCCCAGACAGTCTGGAGTCAGAGCTCTGCTATGGGAGCACGATGAAAACCTAAGAGGTTTATCCCATCTGGCTCTGGGATGCTGCTGGAAGCAGCCTGCTGGATTCCTGATCTGATTAAGAACAGCTTTCAGATATCCTTTCCTGGCCAGATGGCAGCACAGGGTTTGGTGGTGATAGGAGTCCCTTGAGACAGGGGGGGATAAAAAGATAAAGTAGAAGCATTTCTGCTGTGGCCTTGGTGCAAACTGGCTTTTAGAGGAAACTGCTGCAGTAAGTGCCCCTCTCCTCAGGCTGGGATCCTGCAAATTTGTGGTTTTTTGGATGATTTGGATCAGCCTCAGCTTCGGGATAGGGGAAGTTCCTTCTGTCCTGCTTGCTTGGATAATAAAACTCAGGAGCTCTGGCAGCTCTGCTGATGTGTTTTGACTTACAGGTAGTTTGGGCTGGAGTTGGTGATGGAGAGAATGGTCCTGAGTTTCCCTCTGTGCCTGTCCCTCTGTTCCTGTCCTATCCCAGTGTGTCCCAATGCTGGACACCTGCCCAGACCTTTCGTTTTCTCCTGACCTGGCACGGGTGGAACTCCCAGCTCGGAATATTCAGGTGTGCTGGGGCCATCCTCATTGGAGGACTCCTGCATGCCTTGTGCACTGACCCAGCTCTGCCCTTGGGCTCTCTGCAGCTGGTTTAGGAAGAAACATGCTCAGGCAGAGGCGCTGGTGCCCATCCCTCCCAGCCCTGAGACAAAGGACAGGTGGAGGAGCATGACGGCGGTGCCTTACCTGGAGGATCTGCATGGCTACAATGAGGAAGAGGATGATGACTTGTATGACATTGAAGATGATATCATCTACACTCAGGACTTCACAGTACCAGGTAGGGGAGAAGTGGTTCTGGGGGATATTTTTTTTTTTGGGTTTAAAGCTTTTTTTAGGAAAGGCCTCGAGGTCTGAATGATCCTTTCAGCAGAGGAGATTCTTGGCTGTAGAATGGTGTGAGTGAGCCATGATGCTTCAGATTCCTCAGTCCTTGATTTGATCAGCCAGGATGCCCATCCCAGTGTTACTCCAGTGCCAGCTTCTTCCCATCTCCCAGGAACAGCTGCTGCTGGACTCTGCTGTTCAGCACAGTTAATTCTTTGGACAAATTTTGCTAGAATGAGTTATTTGTGAACAGAGCCCTGAAATGACTCTGCCTTCAGGGTATGTGGCACACCTGGGGGATCCCCTGGTCCCAGCCTGGTCCTTGCCTTCCCCAGCTCCATGTCCATCCCAGCTGAGCAGGGTGAGCCCCATGCAGGCAGGTATCTGAGGTTAAGGATCACACTGGGAGCACTGACACCAGGAATTTCACCCTCCTCATACAAACAGCAGCATTTAAACCCAAATCAGAGCTGTCATGGCAGATCTTCCATGTTCCCTATGTAACTTGTGCTGTTTCAGAGGGATTAGAGACCTAAAGGATGAGAGGGGCTGGTGAGGTGGGATGTGCAGTGTTTGTGGTGGGCAGGAATCCCCTCAACACTGGGAACACACTCATGGGAGGAGCAGGGTGAGGAGGGTCCCAGCACAGACCCTCGGTGGGTTTGTGAGGCATTGCAGAGGTGGGGGCAGCTGCTGAGGGAATAAATGTGATTTTTTCCACCAAAATCTTCCTGCAGCATCCTTTTGAACCTGCCCAGTGCTGCATTTCTAGCAGTGATCCCATATTAAAATATAAATGAAAAGCCCCCGTGTACATGGGGGATCAGTTCAGCTGTGGCTCTGCTGGGCAGCCAGAGCAGGAGTGTGAGTGACTCATGGCTGGGGGTGGGTGTTGGGTTTGAGGGGGGGGGAAGAGGAAACCTCATTAAATCCTGTGTTCTTCAGAGGAAGAAGGGGCTTTGAGGAAGTGCTTTCATTTTTAAAGGGTTATTTAAAGATTCATGCAGCTCTGTGGGGAGATGTAAATGTTCCAAGCCCTTGGTTCAATCGGTGTTAAACATCCCATCCAGGGAAGGGCTAGGAGAGGATGGAGGAGAGGATGGCTGTGGCCTGGAGGCAGAATCCTCTCCCCACTCCTGTGCAATGAAGGGATGTGGTCATCCTGGTCTTGCTTGGTGCTTTTGTGCTGCCTCAGGTCTGGAGGCTGAGCTCTGCTCTTTCCCGTCCTACATTAACCCCTCCTCTGCTACAGCCCCATCCTGCAGCACCTGCTCCTGGGTTTTTCAGTCTGAGGCTGGAAAATACAGCCAGGACTGGAGCTTCTGAGCCAAGCCTGGTGCTCAGGAAGCTGCATTCCTGGCTGCTCACGGTGCCTGTGTGCTCAGTCTGACAAACAGCCATTCAAAGCCTCTTTGCGGCGTTATTTTGAAACCTTTTTTGGTGCCTCAATGAGCTGGATGCGGAGCCATTAAGAATGTGAGGGGTGGCAGAGATGAGCAGGGATGAGCAGCCACGTTGCTGGTTCCTCTCTCAGCTCTCCCTTTATTTATATTATTTTTAGCCCTGCTCGTGGTGAGGGTGAGGTGGGCAGGAGCTGCTCGGGCAGACACAGCGCTGGGTCAGCGGTTCCGCGGGGGCAGCAGTTGCCAAGACTTCAGCCCGTGCTGAATTTTTATTTTCATTAATTTGAACGTCAGCAACTGTCATTGGTGAAGGAGGTAAAATTAGCTCACGATTCACCTCCCTCCTTGATATCCATAATAGACTCCCGGGACTGTGCTTTTGAAGCAGGGGAAGGAGGGGAGGAGGGAAGAGTCACACAAAAGACAAGTGAGCTGTTTGGATAGATTCTTTTTCCCTCCCCAGTCAGAAATGTTAATTGACTTGGCCCGAGTTCAGCCGAGGGAGGGGAAGGAGAAGTGCTCAGCTTTGCTCTGAATGGGGTTGTTTGAGGCTCTGCAGTTGTGCTGGTGGGATGGAGGGATGGCATGAAAAACCTGGGGCTCTGGGGTGCTGCAGCCAGGCAGTGCTGGGCTGGAGCTGTGTCCTGACCCTTGGGAGCCCCATGCCTGGAGGCTCTAGGTCCTGTGTGTCTCTCCTAGAACCCTTGAGCCCTTTCCAGCCATCACCCCCCTCCAGAGGGGTCAGGCACTGGAGGAATCCATAAGCAGGGCCATGAGCTTTGTGCTCCTGATCCTCCTGCTGTGCCAGTCACTGCCAGAGTGCCAGAGGCACTGGCACATGCCCTGGGGAGGGGGCCAGAGCACCCCCATCACTGCAATCCCTTGTGGTGAGCTGGGCTGGGCCAGGAGCTGTGCTGCTCTGGAGTACCAGGCTGGGCACTGCAGGTGCCAGGGTTGGCTGCCAGGAGCCAGGAGCTGTCTGTCCCTGGTCAGTCAGTCCCTGTCTGTTTTCATGGCAGGAGTGCTCAGGTAAGCAGCCCCAAGCCAGTGGCTGGGAGCTGTGGCAACACTGGGAGCCATTGGGAGGGATACCTGTGGGGGAGATCCAGGAGGAAATAATTGTGTGTGTAACCCAGGATACACCCACCCCTCCCTGCCTCCCTCCCCATCTCTGGCAGTGGCCAGGGATGATGTGGCAAGGCACAGGGGTCCAAGGTGGGACCCCCAGTGTGCTCCCTCCCCCAGAGGAGCAGCAGCTCTCCCAGCAGCCCTGGGTCCCCCCCCAGGTGCCAGCAGTAGGGTGATGGTTGGCGCAAGCGGAGCTGACGTCCTGCCCAGCCTTGGCAGAGAAAGGATTGAGCATCCTTTAAAGAAAATTATACATAATCGTCTTACAGCCTTTGCTTCCACTCAAACCTCTGAGTCATAACTGAAGGGCCCTGGAGCGTGACGTTCCTGCTGGAAGGAAATTGCCTCGGCTGGATCCGGTGGGGGGGAGCCAGGGGCCTGACAAAGCCTCTCCTCAGCCTGTGCTGGGCTGGGGGCTGCTCCCTGCTCCTGATGGGAGCGCCCCAGGATGCAGCCCCATCCCTCTGTCACCCCCCAGCTGAGGGGATGTGACCCAAGCCCCGGCTGTGGCAGCAGGAGATGCCTCTGGAAATGGCTCTTCACCTGCTCTGCTGAGTCACACGGAGCTGAGGAGGGAGAAGGGCTGATGACACCCATGGGGTGTTCCCTCAGGGGACAGTGACACAGCTGAACCCCAGCCCTGCCAGGAGAGGCTGCTCTGCCCTGTTCTGCAAACACACCCAGCCCCTGGGTACCCCCAGGGTGGTACGTGGGGCTGGGACCTGCAGAGAAGGCAGGAGGAAAGAGGGGTGACCTCATCCACTGCTGCCCCTCTGCTCCCCAGAGGAGCTGGGCTGCTGCCTGAGGTGTGGGGCAGGGCACACAGTCTGGGGAGGAGGGGACACTGTGTCTGTGCTGGGGGAACAGGCACCAAACCAGTCCTCGAGGGAGCTGCAGCTGTAGGAGCATTGCAGGGTGGGACAGACAGAGATGAGAGATCCCTGCAGCCAGGTCAGGAACTTGGGGTTTATTGCAAAGGGCCTGAGTGCAGGGCCCTGCTGGGAGCTGCCAGGCACAGCTGGAGCAGGACTGAGAGAAGAGAGGGGAGAGAGGATGAGAGGGTAAGAGAGTAAGAGAGCAAAAGGGGTAAGAGAGTGAGGTTCCCGTTCCAATACAATAAATCTTCTTCTGTGTTGAATATTCTGATTCTCACTAACCAATCTAGTACAAGATACAAATCCTATAGCATTTACATACAGCCTATAAGAATCATTACATTACTATACTGTGTTACATTTTAAACCCTAAAAACTCCTCTTTGGGCCCCTTCTGCCAGGCTGGCAGGGTCTGCTCTGACCCTTGGACCTGCCTGCAAGCAGAGGGTGTTGTTCCATCAGAAGGGGATCACCTTCAGCCAGCCACACCATTGTTTTCCAGTTGTTCAGTAACTAAGGGATCTCAAAGCTTGCTTTCATTTCAATCTCTCTTAGAGTTTCCATATTCTCAAAATCTTTTTGCCAGGCAATCATATTTATAAGGCTTTCCTGTTTCATCTTCCCCAACACCCATCTTTGCACATCCCAGGTTGGGGATCCCTCGCAGGTACAGGAACAGGAGCAGCAGGATCCAGGAAGGGTCTGCTGCCCCCGCTGACTGTGGCCGTTCCCTTGCAGGACAGGTGCCTGAGGAGGAGGAGGAGGCCGGGCAGAACGGGCAGAGCCGCGGCCGGGGGCTGCCCAAGGCCGTGTGCATGAACGGGACGGAGCCGGGGCAGCTGAGCGCCAGGGCCAAGGGCGAGCGCCGCGCCAGCGCCTCCTCCAACCCCTCCCGCAAGGCCTGCTCTGCCAGCAGCAAGATCCGCAAGCTCTCCACCTGCAAGCAGCAGTGAGCTCTGCCCAGGTACTGCCAGGGCCCTCTGGGCTCTGCTTGAGCTAGCTGGGGGACATCTGAGCTATGGGCAGGGCGAGGGAGCTGAGGGTGTTTTGTAGTCTGGATCCTGAAAGAAATCCTGAAAGAAATCCTGAGTGTCCCTGTGCAGAGTCTCTGGCAGCCAGGGCTTGGATTTCCTGTGGTGCTGGGGGTGCAGAGCCCAGCGGAGATGTGCCCACCTGGCCCTGGCTCTGCTCTAGTCTGCCCTGTCATGTGAGAGGTGCTGTAGTGATCTCTCTCCCCTCCTGGGCTGTGCCTAAGCTGTGCCCTTTTTCCCTGGCACCAGGGTCCCTCTGCCCTGCTCCCAGCCTCACCACCACCTACCTGGACTTGGGGAGCACAGAGGGATGCTGAGCCCCTTTACCTGGCACCAGGGCCCCTCTGCCCTGCTCCCAGCCTCACCACCACCTACCTGGACTTGGGGAGCACAGAGGGATGCTGAGCCCCACGGTGTCCCCATGAGACCTGCCCCTGGCCCTGTCACCCATGCCCAAGCCACTTCCAGGGAAAGCTGAGCCTTCTCCCTGCTTTCTCCCCCTCCTTCCAGCTCCTTCCTCCCCAGCTCCCAGCCCTGTCCCCTCCTTCCCACCCCTCATTCATAACGGAGCCAGCAGTGAGTCATGTTCAGCCTCATCCGCCCCCGGCCTCATGCTCGTCACGGCGCTGCTGGGGCTGAGCTCTGTTATCTCCTGGATCACGACCAGCTTTGTGGTGTGAAAAAAGCCCGAAATAAAAGCCGGATCCTCCCCCTGCAGCTGTCAGAGGCCCGTGGCAGCTCCATCTTTAATTCATGGGGGCAGTGAGTCACCTGCGGGGAGTCAGTGCAGCCGGAGCCTGGGATGGGGCTCCCCAGGACCCGCTGCTCCTCCTGCCCCTTCCTGCTCAGCTGCTGCCCGAGCCTGGCTGGGTCACTCCCCCCCTTAGCCTAGAAACCTTTTGAAGGAAGGGAATGCTCCTCTGCTTGGCATACATGACATTCCTTGGCACTGATTTCTCCTCAGAGGTTTTGCTTCGGGCAGGTCTGGGCTCACCTGGCTGAGGGACCTCCCTAAAACCTTCCAGGGACAGCACAGGGATCCCGAGCCCCTCACTCCCATCCCAGGGCAGGGTGCAGGGCAGGAGCAGAACCAGCACCCCGAACTGGGCAGCCCCTGCCATCCCTAACCCCCCTTCTCTCTGTTCTCCCCACAGCATCCCTGGGCCCGGGCCAGCCTGTGTCCCCCTCCTTGCCCCAGCTCTGCCTCTCTCCTGGGACTGGACTGTGCTTGCAATCCAAAAGGAAACCAGAAGAAACCAACCAAGGAGCCCCCCCTTCCTTCCCTCCCCGCACCCCCTGCTCCGGCCAGCGCCAGGACACAGAAGCTGCAGTGGCCACACCCTCCTCCCCATCGGACACCTGGGAGTTGAACTCTGCGGCTGCCAGGACGCTGCCCCCTTCCCCCCGATCACTCTTTGCCAATCAAGACACTGATTCTGTTTTTAATTTTGCGATGGGAAGGGTGGGATGAGGGGTCAAGGCCCCCTGGCCGTGTAGAGTCGTGCAAAGCCATTGCCGTGCACTTTATGTTTTAGACTACTGTTATATATTATATATTTTCCTCTCTCTTTTTTTTTTTGTTGTTTTATTTTTTTGTTTGTTTGTTTTTTGTTTTGTTTATATTTGCGGTATATTTAGAGATTCCTACACATCGTGATGTGTTAAAATAAACCAGATGAGGAAAAAAAAACCCCAAAAAAATCCAGATATTAAAACAAAGCAGAACTCTATTACACCTGCATGCTGCACGGGGGCTCGGAGGGGCTCAGAAGGGAACAGGGCCCAGGAAGGGCTCAGAGCTTGGGAGGAATCTGGGCTCCAAAGGGATCAGGGTGGTGGCAGCCACTTGGCTTTTTTTTCTGCCTTTTTTTTTTTTTTTTTTTTTTTGCTTTTCTCCCCCCCCCCTTTTTTTTTTTTTTTTTCCTTTTTTTTTTTTTTTTTTTTTTTTTCTTTTTTAAAGAAAAATAAAGTGAAAACAGCAGGTGGGTTTCATGTCCTTCCTCCTGCAGCAGGCGGGGTCAGGGGTATGATCACCCCCTCCTCCTTTTCCTTTTCCTTTTCCTTTTGGAAGGGCACAGCCCCCCCCCAGGCAAACCCTGCACTCGTGGGGCAATGCCAGGCCCGGAGCCCCCCCTGCCCCCACCATCCCACCCCCAGAAGGTAAGAAAAGAGCTCAGAGATGTCGCGGTTGGTTTTGGTTTTTCTCCTTTGTTTATAGACTTAAAAACGCAGAGGTGATGGAGGGAGAGCTTTGGGCAGAGCCTGCACAGAGGGAAGGGGCAACCCGGCCTCTACTCGCATGCAATGGGGGTTTGGGGGGGCCCTGCCTGTCCCCCTCCCGCTGCCGAGTCCCAGGTGCCACAGCCAGGGCTGAGCTGGGGCAGTTTCTTTTTTTTTTTTCCTCTTTTTTTCATCCATCCTTTGAAACACAAATAAAAACCCAATAAAAAGTGAACACCCCCCCTGCCCCGCCTCCCCCACGGAGCAGCAGCCGCCTCTGTAAAAATCAATAAATACCCTTGAGCCCCCACTGAGCCCCTGGGGTGTGGTGGGGGTCACCCACAGCCCATGCTGGGGATGCCCCTCTCTGCTCTCACCCTGTCCCCTGGGCCGGGGGGCAGCACCAGGGGCAGGCACCGGGCACCCCCACCCCTCTGGGGGGTATTTTTGGGGTCCCCGGGGCTGATCCTTCCCCCCAAACCCTTGGGCTGCCACGCTGGGGGCCCCCCAGGAGGAGCTTGAGCCCCTCCAAAATCCCCCTGCTTCCAGTTTAGATCCCAGGCTCCCTGCAGACCTTGTGGGGAGGGGGTTTGGGATTGAGGAGGTGACTGCCCCTCCCCAAACCGCCCCCTGGCCAGGGTGGCACCGCTGGGGACACCCAGCTCTGGCCCCTTCCTGGCGGGGACATTCCCGGCCGGATGAGAGGCTTATTGCTTGTAAAACCTCGGAGAGAGGGGAGAGCCAAGGTGCTCCGGGGGCTTCAGCAAAGTCCCTCAGCGCTGACCCCCGGCCAACGCTCGGCTTCTCCACCGTGCCCCGACCCCCGGGGCTCCCCCAGCCCAGGCCCTCGCTCCCGGGAGCCGGGGGGCTCGGCCACCCCACGCTACCGGACCCCCGTGCTGAGGTTACAGCCAGGGGTCCCCACGCGCCCCTCCTGGCCTGGGCCGGGACCCCCTTCCCGCACCCGGTGCCGGCAGCAGGAGGGGATGAAGCCCTGAACCCTGCCGGGGGCCGAGCCCCCCCTGTGCCGGGGTCTCTCCCCTTCGTGCTGGGCCTAGACCGTGCTGTGGTCGGGGGAGGCATCACTGGCAGCCACGGCCACCGTGCACTCGGGGGTCTCTCTCTCGGCCGCTTTCCTCAGGTGCCCATAGAGCCGCTCCTCCAGGCCGCCCGCGATCTTGTCCATCAGCTCCGAGCCGGAGCCCAGCCCCAAGCACCTGCCGGAGCCGGGGCAGTCATCGTCCTCAGGGGGCTCAGAGCCAGCCTTGGGCTCGGGGGCCGCCTCTCCGGGCTCCTCCACGATCACCTGGATCTCGGGGTCAGGCAGCGCCGGGGCAGGGGGGACCCCATCGGACGCCTCTGCTGCCTCCTCGTCGCCGGCGCTGACGATGCGGGGCAGGGGGCTGTGGAACCGCGAGTCCAGCGGGTAGTTGGCGCTGTCGCCGCGGCGCAGGGGCGTCCGGTGCCGCTCCAGCGCCGGGTACCGCACGCCGGGGTCGCTGAACTGCTTCGTGTGCTGCCACTGCTTGCGCAGGTGGGTGCGGGAGCGGTGCTTGCCCCGCAGCGGGGACTCGTCGAACTGGGGGTCGTGGCGCACGAAGGCGTTGAACAGCGCGTCCGTCTTCTCGTCGATGCTGTAGTCCCGCCGGGGCAGCCCCTCCCGGCCCGGGAACATCTGCCCGTACGGGGACCAGGCCAGGGGGCTGTGGGGACGGAGGTGTCCCCCCCCACCCGCTGCGCCCAGGGTGGTGCTCCCGCCCTCCTCCTCTTCCTCATCTTCCTCCTCCTCCGGCTCCCTGCCCTCAAAGCTCTCGAAGATGGTTCCTTTCCGCCCGGCGCTGGTGAAGCAAATGCGCTTCTCGGAGGCTGTCTGGTCCTTGGGGGGACCCTCCTCGCCCCCCCGGCTGGGCGCCTCGATGGAGGCGTAGCCGCTGTCCATCTGCAGCAGCTTGCGTGTGCCGGGCTCCGACTCCTCCGCCTTGGGCCGACCCCAGAACTTCTCCTCGGGGCCTTCGGGCTCATCCAGGGAAGGGGAAGGGCAGGGGGGCACGCCGCTGGCGGAGGACACGCTGTCCCCTCCGTCGCTGCGCACCGAGTCCTGGTCGTTGCTGCGCTCGGAGGCCGCGTACAGCTCCAGCGAGGCGCGCAGGCTCCAGATGTCGTGGTAGGCGCTGGGCTGCTCGGGCACGCTGGGCTCGCCGGGGCTGCCCGCGCCCCCCTCGCCTGGCTCTAGCCTGCGGGCAGCACCCCGGTGTCACGTCAGGGACAGACCCCGCAGGTGACGGGCAGGGATGTGCCAGCCCAGCCCCTGCGGGCTCCACAGCAGCGCCGTGGGGCCACCCGCTCCTCCATGCTGTTGTCAGCACCGTGCCCATGCCCCAACCCAACCCAACCTCCCCATCACCAGCGCCCCCCAGACCCCTCACCCCGGACCCGGTTGCCCCACCAGAGCCGCAGAGGTGGGAGCACCCCAAGCCCAGGGCAGCGCGGGGTCCCTCGGTGCCTTCCCGGTGCCCGGCTCACCCATCCCCGTCCCCTCTTATCTACTGAAAAATACCTGCCGAGAGAGGGTGGGGGGCTGGCGGGGGAGGGCAGGAAGGGGCCCCCCGCGGGGTGGAAGGACACGTCGTCCGTGTGGGCAATGTACTGGATGATGTCGGTCTGGTGCGGGTCCCGGTCCTCCTGGTCCATGCTCTCGCTGGCCGCCCGCTGCCTCTGAAACTGCCGCCGCTTGGGGGATCCTGGGGGGCGCAGGGCAGGGCTGGGGGCACAACCCAACAGGCAGCAGCAGCCCCCCACCCACACGTGTCCCCCCAGCCTGCACAGCCCTCCCGCTGACCCCCACCTCTGGTGTCCAGGCTGGACGCGCGCTGGGTGCTCTCCAGCTTCCACTTCTTGATCCTGAAGTAGGGGCTGGCCCCGTCCAGGCTGGCGTGGCGGCGCAGGCGGGTGAAGAACTGCAGGACGGTGCCCTGGGGAGGGGTCGGGGGGGGCTCCCCGGGGCCGGCACTGCCTCCCCCAGCCGCCTTCCCGCTCCTGGGTGCTGCTGTGAACTGGGGGGGCCGGGGGGGCCGTGAGTGCCCGCTCGGACCCAAGCATGCCTCCCCAGCCCCCCCGCATCCCACTCGGCTCCTTTGTCAGAGCTGGGCTGCAGCAGATGCACAAATGTCCCCCGGGGCAGGGAGCAGAGCCTGTTTCTAGCTGGATGCCCACGTCTCTTCCTGAGCCCTGGCACGGAGCGAGGGGGCAGGGATGGGATCCGGGGGAGCAGGGAGGGAGCAGGACAGAACCCTTGGGAGCCCCTTCCCCTGCCCAGTCCCGGCCCCCTCCGCCCCAGCACTCACCGAAGGCCCCTCCCCGGAGTCGGAGGAGGCGGACGGGCTGGCCTCTGTGAAGCTGGTGTCCACGGTGGAGTTGTAGGTGTCCCCGGGCAGGGCAGAGCTGGGGCCCACGGCATGGCTGGGGAGCACTGGCCGGGGCAGGGCTCCCGCGGGGGGCTGCAAGGCAGAGCACGCTCAGGGGGTCTGCACGAAGCTGGGGACAAAGAGGGGCCCCTGCACCCCAGCACCTCCTGGCTCTACTTCCAGCAATGCCCCGAGACTCCCACCCTGGGCCCAGCGGTGCCTCCCTGAGGTGCTGCAGGATGCCTGGGTGTCCCATCTGTCCCTCGGACACTGAAAGCTCACCTGGAAGATGGCAAGACCAGGCTTGGGCGGGGGCAGGCGGGGGGTCATGGCCAGGCTGTTCTCGCTGGATTCACACTCGTGGATGGTGACAATCTTGAGGGCAGGCGGCGGGAGGTGCAGGTGAGTCAGGCGGGCGTTCTTCAGGTGGTGGAAATCCCCCTCTGTCAGTGTGTACCTGTGGGACAGCCGGGTCAGGAGGGGCAGCCCCAACCCCCTGTCCCCCCCTCGGCCCAGAGCTTCACCTCCTCCCCTTCTCCTGGGTTTTCTTGCCCTGGTCAAAGAGCGCGGCCTCGTTGAAGGAGACGCGCCGGGCAGTGGAGGAGCTGGAGGACAGGAACCTCTCACTCTCTGCATCCCGGTAGCTGGAGGATGACAGGCACTCAGGGTCCTCCGCTTTGCCAGTGATATCTGCAGAGAAGGGGGTCAGCAACCAGCTCCCCCCACCGTGCTCTACCCCAGCTTCCCCAGCTGAGCCTTGGCAAACTTGTTGCACTCATGGCCTCAATGCCAGCCAGGAATTCCCTGCTCCCAGCTGCCAGGGATGGACAATGGAGGGCACAGGGGGTGTGTGGTGGTCACTGCTCCCCTTGGGAGGGCCCAGCAGCTGCCTCACCCCCCTCCCCAGAACTCAGAATGCAATTTGGGGGGATGAGCACAGCACTCGTG